GCATGACTGGGTTGATTCGAAAAAACCCATCCTCAATGAAATTGAGGGGGATCTTAGAGATGGAAAACGCAGAGTTACAGCTGCAAGGGGGCCTCGTAAGAAGGCCCCAGCTGATGAACCTGCGCAGAGTAGTGAGGGCGAGGGCGAGGGCAGTGGTTCAGAGGAGGATTAATTGATATCCCAGCATATGGTGCTCAATGGGTTGAGCAACAACAAGAAATATATATTAGCTATTATAGCCTGTAGCATGAAGAAAACAATCCTGTGAACTATAGTGCCACTGGCTTGGGTCGACGCTGTGTCACAATGTCCAGAGTTGAGATTTGACTAGCAAGTCAGGCTACACATGGTGCATACCAGGGAGCACCATCAATCTGTGAATGCTTTTGCACAATCGGTGTAAAGAGCTCCTAGGCCAGTGTGAAACCCATTGGCATGTTCCCAGCCATTGGTGGGATTTTTGAACCAACAAATGATCCTACATACTCCGACTAGTCATGCTGTGAATATCGGCATTAAAACAAAAATGTTATGCTCCCACCAAACAGATGGCTGGCGTGTTGACTTTTGAGGTTTGGGGATTTTTCAGGGTTCAACCCTGTGATGTTCAAGAAAGACTATGGGAACACGATCCATTAAAGATCGTGCCGTTTATACACCAATCTGGTTTCACATTCAAGGGGGTTAAAATTCAATCCCTGCCGTGCTGCCCATTCCACACAGTTTGCCTCCAGTTTGTTGTGAGCGGCGCACTTGCAGACCCAGCCTGTGGCAGAGACTTTCGTGAATCTCTGATGGCTCCAGGGGGGATGGGAGGATATGGATAGGGATAATAAAGGGATTATATATAATATGGGACCTCCAAAATTGAATCCAAACACCTATTTTAGGAATTGTCCACTAACAAAATTTAGTGGTGTCAACCATATAGTACGTATGGATAGGTGATATTGTATCCAACATTGGTTGGGGCTTACTGGTACCTTTTTTTTATATCTTTGGAACCATTTTTTCCCCAAACAAGTTGGGATCCTTTTCACACCCATGGATTTAGTCGAAGAATTCCTGGAACTTGGCAGGAAAGTATCTTGGTGGCATTTGGGTGAGAGAAAAGTCAATGCTGGTCCTATCTGGTCCTTGTATAATATACTGAACATACATGAACATATCATATCTTAGGTCAGTGTCCAGACCTTCGTATCCATGATGGCTTTGATCAGAAAGCGTTTCCCACGAAGACTTCTTCCGTCTCTTTAGCTGCACTATAGCTAGTACATGGTTCATATCGATCTATATATGTTGACTTGTTGACTAAACCCCCATTGAACTGCAACAGCTTTACATCCCTGCGGATCATGAGGCGAAACCTACGTGAGCTTACTGACATGGAACATGCCGAGAATGCTCAAAGGAACTTTTGGTCGTGGGTATCACGGCAGGAGTGGAGGAGAATGCTTCCGAAACCTGTGGAGTGCTTCAGCTATAGATGTATTGCATCATATATAGTGCACATTGTTTTTTTTGAAACTTCACAATTTCAAGAACACAAAACTAAGGGTGCCATTGGTACTACATGATCCATCTCGTGAGAAGAGCCACTATACTTCTTCCTGGCACATGTTCCTCCCAAGCGATGTGACTCATGGCTTTAATAAATAAGAACATGCCATGGATGGTGGGTGATTGTGTATCTGCGGTTGTCCACTTAGTGGGGCTGGGTAAAGGTGTGTTTGTTTGTTTGTTTGGTTGGTTGGTTGGTTGGTTGATTGTTTGGTTAGTTGGTTGTTTGGTTGGAGGTTTGGAAGTTTGGTTGTTCGGTTGTTTGTTTGTTCGTGTGTGTGTTCTTAGGTTTGGATCCATATTCCACTATGATGAACGTCTCTTCCGACAACGATTTCTTGGAGATGATGATGGCGTTACTTGTTGAACATGGTTTTGGCTTAACACCCCTGGGATTTGGGTCTCACTTCTGAACGAATCCTACTCAGGCCATCCTTCGATTCTGGGACCATTTCAAAGATACGGACTTCTTCAAACAGCACCCCGTGTTGAGTGATCCAGCCACTTGTTTGCAATTGGAGGTGTGATTAACATTGACTATCATGCAACATGTGATATGTATGTTTTTTGAAACCACTATTTTATCTCTATATGCATGCATGCTTAGGCTACAGACCTGAGTAGATGTGTGCCCCTCATATGGCATGGGGATGACGCAGAGAGCCACAGACGTCGGAGCTTTATGGTAAGCAGTTTCTCAAGTCTTCTTGTGAAAAGCACGACACCATGGGAATCTCGCCTCCTATGTTACTGCATGGACAACTCGAAAGCTTGTGAAGAATCCCTGAACACTTTGGACACTTGGGCTGTTTGGTCACTGACCGAATTGATGATGGGAAAATACATGGAATATGGACCCTGGGCAGAACCTGTGTCTAGTAGGAACGGCCGCGGGGGACAAGACATAGCTGGCGGGTTCCGTGGGAGACTTGTGGCGCATAGGGGAGATGAGAAGTACATGCTGAAGGCATACCATGTCAGTGTGTCTTGGCTTTCCAAACAATGCTGCTGGAGCTGCCGTGCTTCACGTTTGTCAACATCAGACAACTTGTACACTCACTTTGGTGCCAATGCACACCATAGGACGACACTGGTTGACACGTCAGAATTTATTTTGGCGTGCAATGCCAATGCTTGGGTGCGGTTGCCGGGGTGGCATTGTGAAGTGCTCACTTACGATTTCCTCCATGTGTTTGACCTCAGCTTGGTCCCTGATGCTGCAGCATCAGCCCCCTATCTCAACTTATGCACGCAGTGGCATATATGCGCACATGTGCTGTGTGTTTGCAAATGTGCATTTGTTTGCGCATAACTTTTGAGGCTTTAGTGGAACTATCACAGACTGATGAAGTATGGGAAGGTCATGTGACATGTGTTTTGTGTTCAAACCTGCCGCAGTGGATGGCAAACAGCAGCATATGCTATAGTGTATATTTCATATATGTGATGTTTGCAGGTGCAAATCAAGATGATCGCCTTCAAAAGGCCTATGCTGAGTATACCAGAATGTGCAGACAGCACAAAATTCGAGTCTAAGATTTGATTGATGGATGTGTGCTGTATATATGCATGCTCATGCGCGCATGTGTGCTTTTCAGTTTGAGGAAATCGTGGACAGTTCTTCAAGCTGCTACTAGGCTTGCAGTTTTAGCTTGGGCGAGTGCGTGTTGGCACGTTCATTTTTGGTGAGAGGCTGCCTGATGATCTGATTGTGGTAAGGAAACACCTGAAGGCGTCAAGGACGGCATATCCGACATTGGCGCAGAAACACTTCAATGGCTCTGTTTGAGTCTTATGTGGTTCAACCGTTCTGCTCTGTGTTATCAAACCGTTATGTTATGCATGGGTAAGATATGTGACTGTGCGACTTTAAGGAATCAGTGATTTTGGCGCGGTGGCTGATGGGTATCACTGTAGCCCTGGCAGCCAAGTACCCCGATGACTTACATGCTCAGTGCCAATGCCTATAATTAATTGCGTGTGTGCGTGTGCGCATGTTATTGTTTTTTTTCATGGTTGTCACCTAGTGTTAAAAGGGGTCTCTCATTGTGGTGAGGTTGCGAGCTGCAGTATTTGTCAATGCTGTGGCCATCCGTCGGGCTGTGTCTCTTCAACATGGCTTCATTCTTCCTGAAGAATGTGTTCGGAAACTGCAGTCTGCCAACTATCTGTTTCACAGTGCGCTTAATAGCTACTTAGTAGCAGACTCATGGGTTGGGGATAGCAGTATGATAGTACTCGACTAATTTAATTAATGTTGTCGAATGCGCACGCTGAATCTAAGGCTTAGCAGCTGAATCAATTGCCAAGGGTGAGCTTCGCTGGAAGCTGCGACCAAAGCTTCATAAGCTGCTCATATGCACATGTGCGCGGCTGTGGTACTGGTCATGGGTCTCATATTTGTGCATCAGCATTGCATGTTGAATGCGCGTGTGTGGATTGTGCCTAAGGCTTGACCATATAGCATTGGATCAGGCCCAGCGCCTGTCGCCAATGCACACAAGTTGCTATGGGGACGAAGATATGGTGTCTAGTATGCACTATGGGGGTTTTGTTTCAGGTGGTGTTAGTCGTGTTGGGTTAAGTTTATGTGCTCTCAACTTAGGTTGGGAAAGTGAAGCAATTTGCATTGATGGCTGCTGGTCCCCTTCTTGGGAGACAGGTCCTCATGCGATGGGCCGCCTATGTGTGCATTAGATGGCTTCGCCGGTTGGAGTAAGAAATATAAATCTATAGCATATAGCTAACGCTTAAGGTGACCCCTGAAAATAGTTAGAAAACAGTATGTTGGCCCCTTTGAACCCACCAGCCGGGAAAGCCGGTGCCTGTGAAGTCTGGATCGTGAGAGCCGCGAAGAAGATGTGCAAGTGGCCGCCAGGGTTGATGGGCAGGATGGGTGATGTTATTAGGTACCCATGTTATATAGTTCTTACTGCATATGTGGTAAATACTCTGCACATCAGTGGTTGGATTTTATATATGTTACATGGGGGATGGATGGTATAGTTTAGAGTTTTGCCCCAATGATGTAAACCAGCACTGCCAAGTGACCCTTTGATATTCTTAAGTTACCCCTTTGATATTGCTAAGTGACCCTTTGATATATTTTTGGCTAAGTGACCTCTTTGCAACCTGAGAATATCAAAGGGTCACTTTGACGGTGCTGGTATATATATATATTATAACACAATCAACAACATATGTATGATGTCGTGTGACACTATGCGACATGAGTTTCTGCCTCAGTGCATTGCCTCATATCGCATTGCCTCTCTTCCATTGGTCAGGAAGGAGGCGTACAGTCCCTAATAGTCCCCATTACAAAGTAAGGCATCACAACAAAACGCACACCAATGTTTAACATGTCACATTTGACATGACACTTCTACAGTAACTGGAATCGGTGTAAGCAACATTAAGCATCTGCGTACTGCTTGTGCCTCAGAGAGCTCTCGAAGAAGCAGCAGGGTTTCAAGTTTGTTGTTGGCTTCCTCCAGCTCCTCAAAGGGCAGCACTGACCGCGCTTCTTTCAATGCTCCACGGATTTCAGCTTCGTCATCAGAGTCCAATGCTGATTGCAAGTCCAATCGCATACGAGCGCAAGTGAGCTGATTCAAAGTCTCCATCGCATTCTCCAGCTTTTGGATTGGTACATTTGCTTCTTTTGCTTGCTCAATGGCTTCCTGCAACTGGGTCTCGCTACCAGTTCGGGCGGCTTGGGTTACGTTCTCAATCTCACGTTCCAAGACGATCTGAGCGAGTGCTTCCTGCCCTTGATCCAAAGCCTCTACAATACGACCTTGAAGACTCTCATCTTGAAGACTCTCAGTCTTTCGAATATCTGCAAGAAGGTTTCGCAACTCTGATTCGTCGTTGTTCTGTATGGCAGTTGTCAGCCAGCTGAGTTTGCGAAGCACAACAAGCTCCGCAAGCGTCTCTTGTGCCTTTTCGATTTCATCACTCGCCAAGTCTTGCCTCCGAGCCTCACGGATTGCCTCGCGGAGTTCAGTTTCATCACGCCGAGCAACAGCCCGGCGGAGGTCATCCGTTTGACGCTTTTGGATCAAGCGAAAGAGGACCTGTTGCGCTGCTTCCACCTCTTCTTGGATTTCTTGGGACGTTGCGTCCACTTTCCTGGCTTCAATGATAGCGTCGCGAAGCTGATCTTCTTCTTGAAGAAGCTTCGCGTCCTCCAAATATTTTGACGCCTTGGCAAGTGCCTTCTGCTTCAAAGTCTTCTTGGCATCAGTGAGCACATCTTCTGAGACACCCGCTTTGCGGGCTTCTGAGATTGCATCCTTTAGCTCCGAGTCACTGGAACTTGAAATGGCCGACTCCAGTTGTCGAATGCTTCGCCTCTGCACCAACTCAGTCAAGGCCAGCTGAGCATTGGAAACTTCATCGTCAGGCAGCTCCAGCTGTTTTGCATCTAAGATTGCTCGCCGCAAAGTGTCTTCGTCTTCGCTTGCCACGGCTTCTTGAAGCATTTGAACATCTCGTGCCCGAATGAGCGCATTCAAGGCATCATTGGCCTTGTCTAATTCATCAGCTGGCAGTCCAGCCTTGCGCCCTGCACTTATTGCCTCACGAAGTTGCTCCTACGGACCAAAACAATCCCAGAAAGACCATGTGCTTTGTCCATCTTTCTCCCACCTCTGACATGAATCTCCGGTGTCTGCTCTTCTCTTCAAATAGTGATCAAAAGCAACAGGGTAAAGGCAACATAGGGCCGGTCTTGCCAATCGACGAGGCAATAGACAAAACATGGCAAGACTAGATTTAGAAGCAAAAACACAACATCAGCGTTGCGTTAAGTTGTGTTGTGGGCATGTTTAAGATGCTGAATGATTCTTGTTGGGTTTATTGGGATGTCTGCATACGGATGTCGTATTTCGATGTATCGATGTAATTCGATGTATTTTGAGTGTGACCCTTGCATCTGGCAACTGGCTGCATCTGGCTATATCTTGCCGCTCCTGGTCAGCGCTGCTGGCTGCATTTCGGAGGAACTTCAACTTGCGCTCCAAGACCAAGCTGTTGAGCGCCTCTTGTGCCTTGGCACCTCGGCGCATGCTGTGACATGATGTGACAACAATCTGAAAGACCTGAAAGAAAGGAACAGGAAACGAAATGATGTTTATTGATTTCTGAAATGAAGAATGATGCAGGGAAACGAAGAAAACTGAGAAACAAGAATGGTGAAAGCAAATGTCTCACACTCAAGAAGAGGACCGTCTTGCTTGGTAGCATGTCATGGCATGGCAACAAACATGATATAGTTGATATACGTTTGCTGAAGTCTTTCAACTATCCCTGCAGACGGCACGATACATGACAAATGTGTGCATAATGAGATGGAAATAGCACCCGATGGCGCGTAATTAGTTGTGAAAATGGCGTGAGCTATCGTGAGCTAATACATTGGTTTCTCCACCATGGAGAGGAAAAAAAAACTCCAAAAAGCATGTTTACAAGATCACAGCAGCAGCTACCATGACTAGTTCCCGCTGACCCCGCACTCCTTTGGGCAAACATGTTCCGAGCAAATTCCCGGTTCAATTGATCAGATCAGGTTCTTGTTTTTTTCCTTCTATGATTTTCTATCAAGCACTGGTCCAAGGCCAAATAATTACCGTATACACACAAAACACACAATAAAACATATTAAAACATATACTTAAACCATCTTAAATCCACGATTCCACCGAATTGCAAGGAAGAAAATCTGGTTTGCCAAGCTTCACTCACTCTCTGGCAGGTCCGTTGCCCTTGCCTGGCTCAAAGCCTCCCGCAATTGCTCCTGGTCATTGTCAGAAAGCGCCACGAAGACATTTCGGTGTCAAACAATGTTAGAGATTCACTGCTTTATATGTTCAGAATGCTAGTTTGGATTCCACAAGCGCTTGTTCGCTTCCACGGATCTGTCTGAAATTTCATTTCGAGTGTTTCTACATACCTTGTGCTAAAGTCACCTTTAATTACTACATGTGGGATTGAACGCAAGTCACCCCCAACAGAAGACTGTTGACTTGAACATCACATATCTTCGCCATGCACGCACAACATTCACGTGCATAATATGATAATATGACATAATATGCACCAATCATTGGCATTATGTGGATTCATTGTACGATCAAGACATATCAAGACCATTCAAGACCTATCGAGTCTGTGCTGCATTGACCACTTCACCTTTTTCCGGCTTGACTTGGCACAAATGTCATGATAATTAAAATTGTCGCTGGAAAATGATCTTGAAAGGATCGCAAATTACCGGCCTTTGTGACTTTTGAACAACCATCAAACGGATTCAAACGGTTGAAAACGTGGTTTATGTGGTTTGAAAGATATAGAGTTTGAACATGTTTGAAACCCACAAAGGCGTCCAATCACTTCAACAACGTCAGCCCTGCAGGATGGTGAGAGAGCGAGAGAACCAGAATGCATCGGAATGCTGTACCATTCAGCACGGCATCCGGCATATGTCCGATATATTATATATCGTTCATTATCGTTCATTATCATTCATTATCGTTCATTATCATTGCGTGCATTGGCATGGCCGGCGGCAAACGTTGAAGCCCTTGAGATGCGCAATCTAGTCTCATGCCTGAAACGGAAACGCGCAAGTTGGAGAAAAAAAGGGCACATCTGGGGCCCAGGTATGGCAACATCAATCAAACAATGACCCTAACGTACAGTATCGTACAGTAGCAAATATCAACAAATATCTGGCATGTAGCGGTTCCAACTGCAGCAGTCTTCCAATCCACGGAGATCCATGAAACTTCATCTTCAGTCACCCGCAGCCACCAACCCAGCATCAAAATCATCAAACACTCCATGTGCTAAGCATGTCCCAAAGTATCCCAAAGTTGTTCCAAAATGTCCCAGGTTTGTGCTCAAGCCTCCGGCATTGGCCTTTCATCCACTTGGCCGTCAGAATACTGAGCAAACCTCTGGCGATGCCTGTCATGTGCCAAAGATTCAGAAGGCCACGGCCAGCCGCCGAAACCTGTAGCCTGAACAGAAACACTAGGGCAGGATAGGGCAGGAATATATCTATACATGGGCAACAGGGTCAATCTTCAAAACATGAAACGAACTCGACTGTCAAAACAATAGTTCCGGTAGGTCACCAAAAGTCCCCATGCCTCAAATATACAGTAGTGTCCAGAACAGTTCAATCCTGCAATTTCAATCAATTTCATAGAATTTTAGTTGGGCAAGCCAACAACTGTCCCACGAGGAATCCTCTGCCTGATAGTCCTTGAAGGCTTTGGATATGTCTTCCCGGCTGTTCCCAACAAAAGGGCCATGTTGGACAACTGGCTCTCCAATGTCCCGTCCTTGCAATATCAGGACTTCAATGCCCTCATCAACCGCTGTAAATTCAGTCTCAACGTCAGGGTGCAATTTCAACCTCTTCTGACCAGAAATCATCTGATCGCCCACCTTGCTTTTTTGGCCTGTGTGGATGTAGGCATTGCGGTTCAAGCCAGTTGTGCTACCTGCATAGGCAGGCAATGACCATGAAGAACCTGCTGGGATTTTTAAGGTCAACACCATCACATCTGACGTTGGTTCTGAAGCATAGGAGTCTGGAGGTGGTGCAGGAGGCGAATTGAAGCCCGGCAAATTTCCAGCAATGAGAGCAATTTCTATTCCACTTGTCTCGCGGATTGCTGGGAGATCCTCTGCCCAGAACATCTTGAAGCTTGGCTCAACCATCTTGCTGCGCTTTGGGAGGTTGATCCAGATCTGAAAGAGCTCAAGAATGTTTTCACCTGCTCGGTTCAACAATGGGAACATTTCGGAGTGATTGATGCCTTTGCCCGCAGTCATCCATTGCACATCACCACCCCCAAAGCGACCAGCATTTCCCAAAGAATCAGTATGGTCCACCCAGCCACGTCTTGTCACCGTAATTGTCTCAAAGCTGCGATGAGGGTGCCGGGGGAAGCCAGGAATGGTCTCCCCATGATACATATTCCACCCACTGGGATGACCAAAGTCCGAACCCATTCGATGACCGCGTAATGAGGCATCTGGGCCCATGTCTGCATTTCCACCTGGATATCGATCCAAGTGGTAGACTGCAAAAAGGAAAGGTGACTCGCAGTCAAATGGGAAACTCATTGCTTCAGCCTTAATCACGGGGCTTTTGCATGCCTCACCACGGCAAGCTGCAAACATGGCGGCAGATCGAAGCAAACTCAGTGAACCCCTGAGGCCGGGCCTTAGCTTTGAAAGCCTTGCATATCAGTTTCTGTCGGTTCACACCTACATGCACCTTGCAACTCACATTCTTGCGGGGACTGCCAATCGCCCTGCAGTGATTTGGACTTATATATAATCTATTTTAATCTTATAAATACGTCAGTGGACCGATTTCTCTTGAGAGTTTTACTGGTCAGTCGCAAGCAGCAGGGAATCAACAGCAACAGCAACGCATTGCAAAACAAACCAGATGAATCAAATGAGTCCCGGTTTGTACTTGCTGCGCAGAGCTCCTCGTCTTTACTGACTACTGCATCCTGCAGCTGTTTCAGTTCCTGCAGCAAACGATGAGTCATGGAAGAATGGGCACAGTAGGATCCAGTAGACCACAACATGCATCAAAATGCTGGAACATTCATTTACCAAGCAAAAAACAACACGGTGTAATATCGGAGTAGTGTTTCAAGCCAAGTTGATAACCGTTCGACGGTCGACGCCGTTAACTTATGCGAAACTAATGCAAAATTATGCCGACCTCATGTTGGTCTCACATTTCAAACGTCTTAAACCACTCCTTTGCGAGCATGATGCCTTTCAGGGCAGTCTGCGCCTCACCTGGCCAATCAGCGAAAGATCCAAGGCATTCCAAGGCTGAGGCCACTGAGGCAGCTGAGTCACAGCATGTCGTAGCAGCTTGTGACTAATCCATTCTGAAAACATTTGAAAAATACTGATTGCCCCTGATTCCGTCTGATTACATCTATTGGAAAGGAATGGAATGAATCAATCTCTGTTTTTGATACAAACAATATGCAGCCCACCAGCCCGAATGCAGTCACGTAAAACGCTCTTGTGAAACGAGTTATTTGAACAGTCTTGTACATTTTCCCCTGTTACCGTACCAGTGCACTGTAAACACTCTGGAATGTGGAAGGGGGTGGGGCGCAAAGTGTGGAGTGTGAAGAAAATGGAATGTTGAGTGGGGAATGTAGTGTGTAGAGTGTGAAGTGGGGAATGTGAAGTGTGAAATGCAAGGTGTAAAATGTGGGGTGAAAAGTGTGAAGTGTTGCGGAGCGCCAAGTGTAAAGTGGAAGGTGTAGAGTGCGGAGTGTGAAGTGTAAAGTGTGGAGTGTAAGGTATAAAGTGTGGACTGTGAACTGTAGAGTGTAGAGTGTGAAGTGTAAAGTGTGGAGTGTAAAGTGCAGAGTGTGGAGTGTAAAGTGTGGAGTGTAGAGTGTAGAGTGCGAATTGTAAAGTGTAGAGTGTGGAGTGCAGCAAAGTGTAAAATGTAAAGTGTAGCGTGTAGAGTGTAGAGGTGGTGTAGGGTCTAGAGTGTGGAGTGGAAAGTGCAGAGTGTAAAGTGCAGAGTGTAAAGTGTGAAGTGTAGAGTGTGGAAAGTAAAGTGTAGAGTGTAGAGTGTGGAGTGTAGAGTGTGGAGTGTAAAGTGCAAAGTGTGGAGCGTGGAGTGTAAAGTGTGTAGTGTGGAGTATAAAGGGTACAGTGTAGAGTGTAAAGTTGTGTAAAGTGTGAAGTGTGCAGATGATTGGCACGTTTTTCTCTGATCTTTGCTCGGCTAGGAGCCGTGAAAACCGTGTGACCCTTACATAAAATACAGGTCCAAACATTGTTTAAAGCCCCGACGTCTTGAAGCACCTGTCTGAGGCTTGGACTGCTTTGATGCGCTTGCACTAGCGCGACTGCTTTGCTGAGCCTGAGATTTCTTAACCTTAACCGAGGTGCAAACTGAGGGAGTTGCAGCGGAGGTACCTTGGTTATTCAACCCTGTTTTTTTTTTGAGATCCAGTGACTGGACACCTTGGGTGTGGCAATTGATTTGGCATTCCTCACAGTGTGTGCACACTGGATGTCCTTTCTGAATCCAAATCAGCTGCACTGCGTCTTCTGGGGATGTCAGTCCCTTCACATCACGGGGTGCCATCCATGGATAGTGCTCATCAAAGAGGACTAAACCAAAGGCACTGCCCTTTTTTTCCTCCAAAACCATCTTTGAAGTCAGGCGCCAACGTCGCCCTGAACCAGCTGTCTCCTTTCTTCCTCCACGTAATGACGGAGAGGCCAGTTTTGCTTGCCAAAGCCATGAGCACAAGTCCATTGATCCAGGTGTGAGGATTGCTCATGTCGTCCAACCAGTTTTCCATTTCTTTCTCTACATCACAAAAAACACACTCGGTGCCGTGTCCTTTGCTATTTGTCTTTGCGCTTCCGCGGCTGACGCACGAAGTTTGGCTCCCTGAAGCCTGGACTGCTCCTCCGTCAAGACTCTGCCCTCTTCAGCATAGACAATACTGGCAGCTATGGGGCGGAAACCAGTCTCCCGTGCCCTTCTGGTCATGAAGACAAGAGCCTTGATTGACAGCCTCTTCGATTGGATCCAGCTCAGGAACCAAAACTGTCCTGGGAGGAGGTGATTTCTTTCTGATTACCTTGGCTTCTGGGGCTGCATCTGCAGCTTCTGCAATACCATCGACCCTCTGCGGGCTGCGGCTGCGTTCTCTCCCTGCGCTCGGACTCTTGCGTTGGGTCACTTCCTTTCCACTATCTTCCTCCTCAGTGTCCATCTGAGTGTCAGCAATCTCGGTCGTTTCCCGTTCAGGATTCCATTTCAATCTCCCAGCTTCCACTGTGTCAGCTCCGTCAAAACTGACACTGCCGAATCCCACTTTCCATGTGGCAGGTACTGTGCTCTATAATGAGATGGTGCCGTGACGCGAACCGTCACTTTCGCTTCAGGCTGGTGCTTCAGCAAGCTGACCTTCTTAGGAGCATTCATGCCAAGAGCAAGAGTGTAGGTAGAGTGAGACCATGTCAAGCCGAGTGCGAATTGGACCTCGCTTGGTGGAAACCTTGACCTTTTCACCCAGAGGATCCCAGTCATGTCATGTCATGTCCATCAACCAGCACTGTCAAGCCCTGGTGTATACCAAAGGCTGTGCAGCTATCTCTGATTTCCTGAAAATCATCATATCCATGCACCGCAACCAAATTTCCGTCAGCAACCTAACCATTTTCCCATGCTTGCAAGATTTTCCTTTGGAAATGAGCTTCGTGACAGGAGGCCATTCTGAGCGATCGATCGATTGATGAGCCCCTTTCTCTCTGACTCTTCAAAGTGAATTTTCTGAGGTGCCGGCTTCTGCTGAGTGACAACGCGCGTAGTTCGATGGGCGGTTCGCGTTTGCGCTTGCGCGCGTTGCATATCAGCATTAGTGTTAGAAACATGTTCACCACCAGACCCTTCTTGCTGCCACTTTGCAAGTTGTTTCTGTAACTGTGTGACAACTGCAGCATTATTGGCTCCTTTTGACTGACAAGTTTGAAGAGTTTGCAACAGGACTTAAACTAAGGATCCGGCTGCCTTCTGAGCTGGCTTGCTCGCCTCTCTGCTGCCAGCTACTGGCTGTTCTGTTGAGAACCCATCGGTTCCCAGGGGTCATGCCGTGCATCACACTTTTTGGGTTTAGTTCTCCATCTGTTGTTGACTTTCGGTTTCTGCTCAGCTTGCCATTCCCGCAAGAAATTACCAAGAGCATGAACCAGTGAAGCTTCCGTTTGCTTTTCTTTACGTTCGCGTGCGGTGGTTTTTGCCCCACCCGCCATGCCACCACTAAGCTCCTGGCATAAAGTCTTAAAATGCGCAAGACCACATATGGCATCAACCCTGTCAATTTCAAGAGCTTGAGTCCTTTCATGCATAGGGGACCCCCCACTGCAGGCGCTGCTATTCTCAAACGTTTAAGGTTTCGGTTGACACTTCCCCTGAAAAACCCTCTCCGGGGGGCGTGCAGGCAATTTTTGGATATTCCAACAAGAAGCCGACCTCATCCCATGCTTCGAAAAGCAGCATCACCCCAACTCCTGCCAAGATGCACCACCCAAGGGGCGAACAAATGTGAAGCCAGCACACGCTTCGCTCAGCAGCAGCACTCATCGCAGTCTCAGCCGACGGCCGCACAAGCCGCATTCGGTGCTGCTAACAGTCACGTCATGGCCGCACCGTTTTCCCAACTGTTGAATTTTGAATTAGGGGGCCCTGGTGGGGCCGGTGATGGTGGCAAAATCTACCCAAATTTCCAAAATTTCGAAGTCACACGGGGTGAAAGAAGCTGACACCGACGAAGACGGAGTCGAAGCAGCAGGCACCAGCAAGCAGCCAGGCAAGCACACAGCAGCCAGCCGGCACAGCATGGAACCCTAAACCTAGCGTGAGTTGGCCTTAAAGCCCTTCCTGCAGCCATCTCGGCTTGGCTCACATTGTCATCTTTTTCTTCATCCGTTCTTTTTTCTTTATTTTTTTGTTTTTTTGTGTTCTTTTTTGTCTTTTTCTTCCTTGTTTTTGAATTCTGTCACAACGAAGCGACGGACAGCTGTTGCCGCGCAATTAATCACCTGCACTACATGGCGCCTATTGAAATAGGTCCGCTGCCACCGTGCTACAGGTCTCTTGCTGCAGCTGGAGGTGTAATGGGGGCAGAAGTTTTCCCATGAACCTCAAAATTTGCCACCTCAAAATCGATGTTTTGTGCGAGGTTTCCGTCACTTTTCATCACATCTCACAAAATGCCACGCCTGCCACGGAACCTGCAAGTTGTCACCACTTCACGCAGCCCTGACAATGAGATGGACGGTTGCGAACGGTTGCGAACGGTTGCGAACGATTGCCAACGTAAACGCAACGTCGAGCGAACACACCCTCAACCCCCAGACCCCCAGAGTGAAACGAGAACCCTTGCTACGCATTCGGCAATTGTCATTATAAGATTGAAAAGGACAGACATGGTCTAGCACCTTGCCTAAAGCCAGATTGAAGCGGGCGTTCTCTGCATCATCGGAGTCATCGTTTGGTGCTGCTTTCCTTGCTACCGAGATGGCTTCTCGGAGCTGCCCTTCGCTATTACTGTCGATTGCCTTCTCCAGTCCATCAACATAGCGCAGGAGCTTGATCCTGCACAGCTATATGCTCAGTCATTTCTCATGATTTCCCCTCACTACCCTACAGCAACATTCCGGGTTCAGCGAGGATATGATAGGATGTGCCATGGTGCACTCTCAAGTGTGGACGGACATGCTGAAATGACATGCCATAACACGCTTCTCATCGTCTATATGGCAACACATTGCAACAAAGTGCAGTTCAAGCTTTTAAACTGTAACCATTATCGTTTAATAAATTTGATTCGATGAATGAAATTCAATGAATATCCGCGATATAATATGATATAATATATAATATACATATATACATGATTTGAATTGATTATGATTTGATTATGATTTGATCATCCTCTATCATCCTTTTGCCATCCTGGGAATCCTGGCACCTCCCAGGGCTACAACAGTACTAGAACATGCTATAGCGTCCTGGACAGCAACTTTTGAGCCTTCTCGACTTCATCTGGTGGCACGTCTGCCTCTGCCAAAGAAAGAAACACAATTCACACGGAAAATCATATCTAAACATATTAGACATATTTAAAAATTATTGCGGGATTCATGGGATACGTTCTCTTTGGCTCTGGCATGCTGTCCTGACAGACTCATTGTTTGAGGTTGTGGATTGCCAAATGGTTTCATCAATTGGATGCAATTGGGATGGTGTCCAGCACCCTAGACTCCCTGAGGTTCGGCAAATCAACAAGCAATCAAAGCATATCAAAGCACACAAAGAATGCCACAAGACGCCAGAAGGCCAAAACATCCTGCGGGGCGCCTTGCTGGCATCACTGATGGCATCGCGGAGTTGAGCCTCATCCCTGATGTTCATTGCATCTTTCCTCAGAAATGCTGAACAGCTCAGCTCGTGGAACGATAGATAGGTTGCCTCATGTAAGGCAAAATGTGAAACCTTCTGCGCAAACAATGTTGGCAAACCTCTTCCCAAAAAATATATTCGACGAATGGCAAATGTGTTTATTTTGAACTACATATTCACACGTACGCACCTACGTACATACATTCATTACATTCAACAATATTTATAATATAATATAATATAATATAATATAATATATATGAATCTACAATAATTGGATACACATGGACAGTAATTACTACAGTATATTGTACGTCACATTCCGTTGGATTACTTCACGTCACATCACATCACGTGCCGTCCAAGCTGCAATGCCTTCCGCTCTCGGGCTAGGATCATCTCGTTCAATGCATCCTGTTTAAAATGTTTAAAAAGTTGCTTGCTGGGAAAAAATGAGTCAAGCTTACTACATCGACCAAAGTCCATGGAGTCCATGGGTGAGAGCCCGCAATTTGGGTCTACATCAGGCTCAAAGCACAGTGCAATCACACCGCCTATGTATAGCTACGATGATTGATGCCTGATAAAATTATGCCCGGTGCAAGGGAGAAACTAGGACTATAACGGTGATTAAAAGATATGAAACTAGGACTATAACGGTGATTAAAAGATATCAAATATATCAACATATTTTATTAAAAGAGGTACTACAAGAGCTCCATCATTTGCCATGCTTCTCGGTGAGTCTGGTGGTCTGCAGGAAATGTATGGAAATGTCATTCACTTGAATAGTCCAGGCCTGGGCTTGTTCCACATCTGTGGGTGGAAGATCTATAAGCCGTGCCTCAAACAAGTCAGGCCACAAAAAAATAGTTGTCCGCACTGAATGCACACGCCGTCACGGCGAAGGCCTACTACTGGGTTGCTTGAATGACGCGTTTTGATTTACGATGAATTTCATAGTCTGCAATTTCTCTCCAAACACTTCCCACATGTGCTCCGTTTTGGCCTCCTTGATGGCATTCCTCAGCTGCATCTCGTCATCTCCAGTGCTGGCACTGCGGAGATTCTTCAGCTCCCGCATCTGAAGAAGTTTCATCAGGGCCTCCTCGGCCCTCTTTAGGCTGGCCTGCGGGAAGTCCAATTGACGCGCTTCCTGCCACCAAGACTCAAACTGACTCAAACTGAGTCAAAGTCAAAGCGATCACATTGAAAGGCGCCACAGGAGTCACCACGTCACCACATGTCACCCCAAGTTCACAAGCCGCTGGAGCTAGAGGAATGGAAAAAAACGGAAGTGAGGACATCATGAAATTTAAGCCCATGAACGATTCAAGACCTATCTCAGATGTTGGACATGGCAGGACCACTATGGACTACTGATATTACTGACAGTGGAAAACTTGCTAGAAATCGAACATAATTATTTTGGGGCCTGTACTGCATCTCGCAACTCTTTCTCATCGCCACTCTCAATGGCCCTGCTCAGGTTTCTTAGCTTCCGCTCTCTTTCCTCCGGCAGCACATCCTGGATAATCTCGGTGTTATCCTAGGTGTGTCGTCGAGCACACACAAGCACATCATCTGATGATCATCTGACATGTGCGTCATTCTTGGTCCATACATGGGACGTCCTACTTGCTTCTGATGCATTCTTTCAGTCCATGGACGAATTCATCATTGCCCTCCATGCAGCCGCATGTGCAGAAAAGATCAAATAAGACCAAAAAATGAATAGGCATAGGCTGATCCACATCGATCTACCTAGCCATATTAAAACATTCATTCATGTACTATATTCATGTAACATTGAGCAATGGTCAACATGTGCACTCATGCCTATGTATCGGTGTATGTAATGTAATTAATGTAATTTAACATGTAATGCAATGTATTTGAATGTAATGTTATTATGTTAATGTTATGCATGTATGTATATGGGTTCGTCTGGAAATGCCGTATCCCCACTGGGAGGTTTGTCTAGGGGGTATGCTTCGGAGGTATGCTTCGGGGTTTGCTTCGGGGGTATGCTTCGGGGTATGCTTCGCATGTACTTATTTGGTGCCATGGCGGTATGGGCAAGGATGTCTTATTTTCAGGGTCATGCAGGGATGTGAAGTACCTTACTCACGCGTTCAAAATGTGCCAGGGTCTGGAAGTTGAAGGTTTGAGGTATGAAACGGGTGTGATTCGGGTATGATTCGGGTATGATTCGCGGAGCACTATTCAGCACACCGTATCAGATCTAGACAGAGCTACAACGGCCAGTCAGCACCAGAAGCTGGTCGATGCAAACGGTATCGGCTGCCACAATGAAGCTACAGCGGCCAGTCAGCACCGAAGCTGTCTCCAACCTACTTGGCTGCATAGGGCAGCCAGACTGCGGGGATGGAGGGCGGGATGGCGCAAAGGGCGCCTAAAGGCAGCATGGAGCAAGTGTCGCGACCCATCTTGATATATTTGAGCCCAAGATCTCCAAATAACAACCATCAACAACCCCTCAAAAATGATCTTCATTTTGGGGGGTTTGCTTCGGGGTATGCTTCGGGGGTATGCTTCGGGGTATGCTTCGGGGGTATGCTTCGCAAGAGCGCCACCTTCCACCAATACATATCTAGGACCACGGGAAAAAAATACTAACCCATATATAGATCGGTTACGCAGCATATTATGTGTGTTTGCATGCCAAAGTTGCACACAAATGCGTCATTGCAATGTTTAAACTTGACCCATATCATGATAATTATATCATGTATGCGGAGGTACTAGGGTGACAAAAGGCAAAAAAGCATGAAAAAGCATGAAAAACATGAGCCAACACAAAAAAAAACATGAAAACAAATGAAAGAAAGCAAATCAAAATCCATACAAATTCCATGAAATTCCTAAAGCTCTGACTTGGTTCCAGGGCTTGGCGAAGCTTTTGGTCTTCCTGCGCTTCTTGCAGCACTTGCACTTTATCCTCCCGCAAGCCTCAGTCGTATTTTCAAGGGGACGGTTCTGTGAAACATCATGAAACATCAATAATTAATAATAATGATAGATATATAGTGATATATAGTAATATTATAGTAATTTGATATTTGATGTCTCCAAATATCTCTAAACATCTCTGCATGCCTCAGTCGAAGGTGCCCTTTCTCGGCCCAGAAACGAGCTCTTCGGCCCTTAAACAGCCACCGAAGTTTGTCCTACACCACAGAGGCACGGATTGGGGCAAGCAACAAAGATAAACTGCAAACACCTACGCGCCCTAGGTGAATGAGACCAACGTTGGTTTAAGCACCAGAAACTGATTCGGTGCGCTCTTTCATACCTTTCGATCGTTTAAAGATTCATTGGCTTACAGCTTCTGGGTACAGCTTGCCATGGGAATAGTTGAAACTTGGTAAACTTGACAACGTGAATATACAAGTATAATAAGTTTGATAATGTTTAAATAAATAAATAAATGAACGAATTAATATAAGTACACATATATAAATACAATATAGTATCATATTCAATTTAATGAACAATCTTCGGATGTCAGCTTTTTGGCAGTTGCCGGTGCTCCTTCCAGTTCTTGTTGACTTTATTGATAGGCAGTGCCGGCAGTGCTGCCAAACAAACACATCCCGCTTGGCCTCGACAGCTGGAACCTGCAAAGCAAAGATCTTCTATAGCACAGAATTAGCACAGTTACGAGTAGCACAGCTATGTCAACGTGGCTACAGGTCATATATAGATTAAGGTTGCTGCAGGGTCATGAAAGGGTCACCTGCTCCAGGGTGTTCGCGAGGTTCCAGTAGAATTGTTTCTAAACAAGTTTCTCTCAGAAACCCACAGATGAATGCAGTTTGAAGCGGTTGCGGTGCCTTATTATTTTGGTTGCAATGCTAGGTCAATTTCGATTTAAAAAGTGCGCAGTGCTTTGACCCTCTTTTCCTGCAACTCAAAACTTTGAAGTCAATAGATGGATTTGTGCTAGTGGCAATTTGCTACATTAAGCTCGAATGAAGTCAATCATAAATGCTTCAATTATCTTCAATTACAATTGAATTTACATGTTTCGAACTTTGACCTTGAATGGCCCTGATTTCTCATACATATTAGGCGATAGGTACATGCTGCATGCCCGTCGTCACCATGCTTTGGTAGTCATCAGAACCAGCTGAGACTTTGCGGGAAAGCTGCCAAAAACAAAGCGATTGAAACAGGTGTAAGAACGTCACCATTACCCAGATTGAACCTTGCAGGAACCTGATGAACATGACCCTGCTCGGAATCATGCTGGAACTTGATATAAGAATGTGATGCGAGCCTGATGGGAACTTGATAGATGGGGAACCTAACAAAAATAGTCTTTCCAAACTCTGGGCTGTGCTAGGAAATCATGTTCGGAACGTTGCTCGAATCTGATAGAAGAATCTGATAGAATCTGACTGCTGAAACCCGCGGTGAACCTTGCCGGAACCTGATGAAACCCTCCTGGGACATACCAGTATATATTATAGTTTGAACGAACCTGGTGATGTCTGCTCATTCTCTATGCATCGAACCCAAAAAACCGAAAAAACAGTGATCTTCGGCTCGAGTTTTGGTGATTCTTTTCTACTCATCTTCTTGTCTCTCTTCAACTATTTATCATTTTCCTTACGGAGATACGCTTCACCTTTCTCCAGCAGGACGCTCGAGGCTGGCAGCAGATCAATAAACACATTACTCCGATCGAATATGGCCATTCACACCGTTTTCGCGACTTACAACTCGGGCATGCAAATCGCGTATCCCAGCCAGCTAGATTTTGTACCTTCCCCCCGGGCCTCAAGCGGCCTCAAGTCATTCTGAGACATGGGGGTTTGCAGCCAGTTTAGATCAGCCTACTTTGAAAGTCTGAAGTTCAGTGATTCCATGCAGACCTTACGATGAAAATCCATGGGGATCCATGGGGTAGATTTGCCGCAGAGTGAATCTTCTGTTTAGCGCTTCGTGCTTTCGCTTTAATTCGCAGTGTGTGGTCAGTTTGGGTCGCGTCCCTTTCATGGACAGGAGTCTGATCGTTTCTCTTCAAAGCTTCTGGCGATGGCAGGGTTCCCCAAAGGAAAGGGATAGAAAGGGAGAAAGAGAAATAGTCGAAGAAAGACAAGAACAGACTGGAGGAAGGAGACAGAAAGAAAGAGCGAATGCGAAAGGAAGATATAGTTGAAGAAAGATTACAACATGGGTACAAAAACGACCCCAGAACAGAAGCCGAAGATCAGTGCTTTTTTGGGTTCGATGCAGAGGCAAAAACGGCCAAGAGGCATCCAGGAGGAAAGACAAAAGAGATAGAAACAGTGCGAGAAGGAAAGCAATATTTTTCAAAATATGGTGAACGAATGACTATGCAGGAAAAGCAAAAAATAAAAAAACGAGGCAACATAGCTGATCATAGCGATTATCTCTCTCTCTCTCTAACAATATATATATATATATCACACATATAATTTCATATATCGTATCTATATGACAAAAGGATACAAAAGGATGTGATGTGATGATAATGCATGATAGTGCTGATCATGATGCCTCAACAAACATCTCTCCAAGCCAGCGGGCAAGGGGACCAAAGGGGGACGACCCTGCTTGTATGCTTCTAATGGGAGGGGAAATTAACCTCGAAACTTTCTAGCAATTCAACGGTCCTAGCTGGGTCCTAGCCCCTCCCCATTCCTTGCTAAAGAGAGAGCCACTGCAGCTAGCACAAGCTTTCGTGTTTTGATCAGGCGGAGAGATGGACACATCACCCGATATCACCCGCCTCTTTGGCCTTGATTTTGCATATACCGCGCGCTATGTGACCAGGGAGAATGCACCTGCTGCTGCCGCACCTGTCGGGTCAACAAACTGAGCTGCTGTTCTCATCTGTTACAGTATCTGCTGTTGCAACTGGCTGATCTTCTGGAAGACTAGAACGCTCCCTCACTGTCTGACTGTTCGTTGAAGCTGGTTACAGCTAGCCTTTGTCGGTCTCACACAGCTCCTCTATGCAACATGGAGCTGAAACTAGGCTGGTAAAAATGTAATAGTCACAATGTCAACCCGATGTCCAAGTCCATACCAGTTGCAGACTGCTTTTACAATCATCTGAAAGGAAACAGTACATATATGATACATTCCATCTGGATGTGGCTCAGGCACCAGCAGGACAGTCCCGGATGTTGACACAAACAACACAAAATATACGGTAACTACATTTAAATATACGGATTTTTGAATATACGAACAGGTCTTTTAGACTACCTCCGGGAAGGTTTTCCTTGGCCCGCCCAGCCATTTAAACATACGGAATCCAATTCATTTAAACATACTGCAACTACATTTAAATATACGAACTGGTATTTCATACATTTTCATACTACTTCAGGGGCCTCGCGGTCTGGCCCGCCCTCCACATATTTAAATGATTTTAAATGTCGTTACTGTAGTGAAATCATGTGAAATACAGTTGTAGCATGTGAGTCATGATGTGTCACACTGATACCCTGCAATATCTATAATATAGGAATTCACATGGATCCTGGAACCTCTACTCTACAAGCATCATCGCACAAATACTGTAGGAATTCACAGGGATCCTGCGACCTTTACAAACAAGATTGTACGGATACCTCAGGAATTCAAATGGATTGTGCGACCTTTGCGAGCAATAGCAGCTACGTATAGTATGTGACAGCCATTCATATGAGTCATGCTGTGTCATGTTGCTTGAAAGGCCTGGGCCTGGCCTGGAGCACCAGCTTCATCACTGCACTTTGCCATGGGTGGGGAGGCCCAAGATGCCCACGGCCAAACTGCAGAGATGGAGATTGAAAAATGTCGATCCAGAAATGTCCGGACTGCCATGTTGGCCGTCTTCAGCCCAAGGTCAAAATGCTATATAGGCTATAACACATGTCTGTCTACAACAGCAAAGGGAAAGTATGAAGCGGCAGATACCAATGCGCGGGATGTAGAGATTTTAAAGTGTGTACAAAGCATGACCGTGTAGGGGAATCAAATTTCCCATACTTGCAGATACTTGCGCCATCGTCTGGCATTGCTTGCCTCCAGCATTTGGCAATTTAAAAAAAGAACTTGAGCCAAGGCAGGATGAGAAAGTGACCGCCAAAGTTGGCACCACTGTGGGGGATGTTGTGTCATCTTTTGTTTCAGAATTTATCACTGCACCGCGAGATTGGGCAGCCACCTAAATGCTTGAAAACAAACACACCTGTCGAACCGGTCGAACCGAAGCAAATGTAAGCAACATGCTTCTCAACGGGCTTGACTTCATACGCGCCAGGACCAGGAGTCTGCAGGCCTTCAAGCAGCGTCAGGGTGCTCAGCTTTCAAATTCAAGAGCACTATCCTATCACGCATTGCCCCAGCATGCCACAGCTACGTTTCTTTTTTGCCTAAATTTTTCCCATCTCTCATCTTGACTCAGAAAATCTGAGAAGCCCACTCTTAACTGGAATTGGACCACGCGGGGATGCCTGCGCCTGGCATCAAATTCAGAAAGTCTCAGATCCTACTTCACAATACGTTATATGTGGCAATATCAGTTATAGTGATTGTTTGCGTCTAAATGCATGAGAGATGTCTTATAAGCATTTACAAGCCTACAAAGATGCAGAACCCTAAATCATCCTAAATCTAATATTGTCATGTGTGTGTGCGTGTGTCTGTGTGTGTGTGTGCGTGTGTCGGTGTCGGTGTCGGTGTCGGTGTCGGTGTCGGTGTCGGTGTGTGTGTGTGTGTGTGTGGGTGTGTGTGTGTGTGCGTGTGTGTGTGTGTGTGTGCGTGTGCGTGTGTCGGTGTGTGTGTGTGTGCGTGTGTCGGTGTGTGTGTGTGTACACTGCTAATAACATGCAGTCTAAATATTGATTTGGCAGGGGAGTGCGGCATGATTGTGGGACCGCACTCAACGAAGCTACCACAATCATGGGATACTGGGTCTGATCAACCCAGCGTACCTGCATCAAAGGATAGCAACCGGCTAAGCTGAGAACCGGAAACTAAGTAACTTTGATATAGCATCCGACTAAGCTGAGAACCGGAATTCATTTTTCATATTTCATAATTCATGACTCATGTCCCAGGATCCGTTTCAGGCCCTCTATTCAGGAATTGGTGGTGCTCTTTTACTTCACCTCACTACGATCGAATCTATATATCCCACAGTGTGTTTGGGTACTTTACCTCACTTGGTAGTACTGTCTGTCCGTTTCGACGGATATGAAAGTTATGACCGGGCATTTTCCCGGCTGCAGAGTGGGATGTCGCCAACATCCTGAAGTCCCCTTTGCATATTACATGCAAAAGAAGTAGGCAATGTCAAGGTGGACATTGAAGTTCGTTCAACACATATTGACAGCCATAAGGCGAAGTTTAGCCCAATTGGCGAAGTACCCACAAGGGGGAAGTTGTCACATGACGAAGTACTCTGAATGCGCACTTCTACCAGTACATGCGGTCGGAGTCTCAGTAGCATTTTCACCTCACTCGTCATCGTCATCAGGTTCTTTTTAGGCCATGTATTCATTCTATTAGGCAGGCTCCTTAGGTTTGTTTTTCCAGGTATAGAACATATTTAACGTTTTGTTTCTCACATCACTCGTCATCGTCATCAGGTTCTTTTGATGCCATGTATTCATTCTCTTAGGCAGGCTCCTTAGGTCAGATTTACTAGGTATAGAACATGGTTCAACGTTTCTAATTCTCACATCACTCATCATCGTCATCAGGTTCTGTTGAGGCTATGTATTCACTCTCTTAGGCAGGCTCCTTAGGTTTCTGGAAACCATGGAGATGTGGTTTGATTTGACAGATCAAATGACAGTCATGGGTGTCACTTGAACCAAAGAAAACCACACGTTAAGTTCATTCCCCAGTGAGCAGACCCGAATATCTTCCCTGGAGAGGCATTTGAGGAAACTGGCTGATTCAGTTGGAAAATTCTGTTGTTGCACCCCTCCCCTTGTTGCGTTGAAAGTAACTTTTTGCTTTTCACATCACTCGTCATCGTCATCAGGTTCTTTTAGGCCAGGTATTCATTCTCTTAGGCAGGCTCTTTAGGTCAGTTTTCTTAGGTAAAACTATAGGCAGTTTGCGGTTTTGCCCCATTTACTGATCTGCCTCTCATATTGAGAGGCCATGTGTGTGTGTACATTGCTAATAACACGCAGTCTAAATATTGATTTGGCAGGGGAGTGCGGCATGATTGTGGGACCGCACTCAACGAAGCTACCACAATCATGGGATACTGGGTCTGATCAACCCAGCGTACCTGCATCAGAGGATAGCAACCGGCTAAGCTGAGAACCGGAAACTAAGTAACTTTGATATAGCATCCGGCTAAGCTGAGAACCGGAATTCATTTTTCATATTTCATAATTCATGACTCATGTCCCAGGATCCGTTTCAGGCACTCTATTCAGGAATTGGTGGTGCTCTTTTACTTCACCTCACTACGATCGAATCTATATATCCCACAGTGTGTGTGTGTGTGTGTCGGTGTGTGTGTGTGTGTGTCGGTGTGTGTGTGTGTGTGTGTCGGTGTGTGTGTGTGTGTCGGTGTGTGTCGGTGTGTGTCGGTGTGTGTCGGTGTGTGTCGGTGTGTGTCGGTGTGTGTCGTGTGTGTGTCGGTGTGTGTGTGTGTGTGTGTGTGTGTGTGTGTGTGTCTGTCGTGTGTGTGTGTGTGTTGTGTGTGTGTGTCTGTGTGTGGTGTGGTCGGTGTGTGTGTGGGTGGTGTGTCGTGTGTGTGTGTGTGTGAGTGAGTGTGTGTGTGTGTGTCGGTGTGTCGGTGTGTCGGTGTGTCGGTGTGTGTGTGTGTGTGTCGGTGTGTCGGTGTGTGTGTGTGTGTCGGTGTGTGCGTGCTCGTTTATTTCACCATCTCCCTTCGGGCTATTCCGACGTGTTTCACAGAGTTTGTGTAAGCAAAGTGACTGATCCTCAGCTGTTGATAACATCTTGAGCCGAGGGAAAATCTTCATCACATGCCGCATGCCAGTACCACAGCCTGACTTCCAACACCTGAGAACAGCTGTGGGAAAGTCACATTTCGAAACATCCGATTCCAAAGCAGGATACCATTCGACCCTGAATACAAAAGTTCAGGTCGTGGAGCCGCAGGTAGAAGCAATGAATAACAAAAGATAGAAAGAACGACGACACAGCAGCAAGCGGATTCAGCCCCAGACTTGACTCCTTGGCACCACAGCCTCTAAAAGGATTGAAGCCGAAGATTCCAAAACATACAGGAATTTTGCAAACTCTTGCTTGAGCTGATGTGATGTTTTTTACTGCTGCCTCAGTGAAGCTCGCGGGCGAAGGTCCGGGGAATTAGTGGATAACTAATCGAAACAACAATCGTATACTGTATATACTGTATATAAATGTATATAATACAACAACACTATAGAATACTGTAGAGACCTATGAAGCCATGGCGTCAATTTCCAAACTCAAACAGTTTGGTCCAGGAATGTTGCTTTCAGCCGCACCGCAGCAGAAGCAGCTGTGGCCAGGTCGCACTTAATTTTGGAACCATGGCCGAGCAATCTTCAATCTGCATGCTGCTGTCTAGAAACCTCCACTAACGCTGGCAGTCAAGAGTAGGTGTAGGCCGCAGCTGCCATAGCTCATGCCCTGGAATGAAATCTTGCATGATTGACGACGGTTGCGCTCCCAACCATGCAAAGCAGCTTCAGAAAGGCCTTGATTTCCTTCCGTGACCGTCCCTGCCCTTTCGTATTTGAAAGGTTTGGGAGCAAATGTTGAATTTGAAGTCTTTCTCAGCCAAGTCCGATCCAACAGTTGCATGGACTCCTTCAATTGGGCAGCCATGTCGGCCTCTTGCCGCCCAAACTGGCCAGGATGAGACAGACAGCATCTCTAATCCCTGAAATCACTTGATCATCTCTTTCGAATCTGTCAAGGCACAGATATCTTCAGAGGCAAAGAAGCTGGCGGTGGCCTGGTTCACTTGCTTTCTGCTGTCCTTGCGGGCGTAGCATGATCTGCAGCTGGAGTGGAACGGCATGTTGGCACTGGCAGCGCCATGCAGCGCCTGTATTCTGTCAAGTCAGTAAAACCATATTTTGAAAAACAGACAGAACGGGCTGGGGCAGGGAATGGAAGCTAATTGCCTGAGCCCAGGGGCTCCTGAAAGGGATTGGTTCAATGTTTTAAAAGCCTTGCCAGCTGATCCAAATACTGACCAGTCAAGAGCCTAGTCATACCTAGACAGAATGCAACAGTGCTGTCATTTCTGCCTGCACATGTTCGCAACAATGGATGACAATATTTTGTCTGGCCATGGCACCGAAACAAAATGAAACAAGTGACGCAGCTGCCTCCTGCGTCTCTGGGCGAAAAAGCAGTTCTAAGCCCAGCAGTGCCTGAGAACCAAACTCAAACGGCATCAGTCGGCATCGAACAATGTGAAACATCTCGGCCCTAAGGGCCGTATTTGTTTGAAACCACGGGTTTGACCTATTTTTGTGTGGCTTTCGGGTCCCAGGTATGACTATGCCAAATGTCAAATGATGTCAAATGTGAGTATACAGCAATTGCAGTGCGTGTGGCAGGCGCGATGTCAAAAAAGAAAAACCTAGTTTGCTATAGTTTTCTTATTCGACATAGAGACAATTGCGCTCGTCATATACACGCGGCTGATGCAGTGGCACCTGTACTTACATGGTTCCTCGCATACAACAAATTCTAACGCAAACCAAATGGTCCAGGTTCGCTGCGAACCCTCCTCCGCTTTGGAGTGCTACTCCAGTAATCTGATATATATATGTATACGAAACTGCATCATCTGTCCGGAAAGATTTGGGACTAATTACAAGAAGAGTCACAAGAATAAACAGGCTTTTGTCTCTAAAAGGTTGCATTCCACTCATTTCCACTCTGCCAAATGCTTTAAAATCTCAACAATACAGAATGATATGATGTCACAAACACATGGATAATATCTCTCTCACATGCCTACCTATCCAGTCTGGCGAACCAATCACCTATTCCTCATCAGCCCCATCCCGACCACTAATTGATATCATGCACTGTGTCGTTCTTTCTTGCAGCACTATACCTACGTACGTATACCATTATCAATTCCTCGTGCATAATATGGCATATGTATATATTAGGTATACCATGGTATACCCACCGTTACCCACCAGAAAAAAATAGAAACCTAGTGTGGTCAAATCAATGCTCTCACACGCCCCTGAGTAGCGAGCCGAAGGAGAACTTGGGACCCGCCTTGGAAATCAAAATAATCACATTGTCAAAGCTCAAAAACTTTCACAGTTTCAGGAGTCTGACAGAGGCTGTTCAGCTTCAGCTTCGGGCTTTGATTGTTGAGACTCTGGTCATTGCGGGATAGGCAGCGCCTGCAACGCTGCAAATGAAGGTTTTCTTTGGCACACGTCGTCTGTCAGTGATCCTCAGTCAATCGCTTCCTAGCCTTGTCCGGCCGGGGCAACCCGGGGCATGGCACCTGCAGAAATTACCACGACGAATCATGACAAACACTCAAAAAGAAAACAAAATCATGAAAAATCGCTCAGAAACCAAGAAATGAACACAAACAAATCACAAATATGAATGCATCGTATTTTTTCCCCTGAATCCGCTGACCAAATTGACGCACAGACGCACAGTGAATTTGCTTATTCCAACTGCATAAGATAGATATAGATAGATTGAGATAGCATAAGTGGTCTGATAGTTTCTGCAACGGCCTGCGGCTTAAAGTCCAAAAGTGCCACGCCACAGCTCCAACTGGTCCAACTTGAGTTTCGTTTCAGCATAACAGCTGCAGATTTCAAAGTGCAGCTGGAGTGTGCAGCTCACAAACTCACAAAAGAATACGAAAGATGCAAGCTAAACCGCTATACCTCCATTGTGAAAACGGTCAAGCCATGTCAACTTAGAATGCACGATAATGCACCTAAATACACCTGAATAATCCTGAATAGGCATCATCTCTTGGTGGTAGGATTCAAGAATTGCAAACGAGGCATTGAATTGATTTCAAGATATTTCAAGATGCTGTTACGAAATTTGAGTTGCTTCAACTGCAACTGTCAAGGTCCACGAGTCGACAATGGTTAGAGTTGCTTCAACGACCTTCAACTGTTTTGCAGATGGCGTGGCACAAGCCTCACAAACTTCTTCACTAAACTGCATGTCCTCGTTAGGAGGACACGTCAAATGAGAATATATAGACAGCGATGAGATTTGAGCAAGCACTCTGACGTCGGGAGTCATATTACTGACCCAACCTCCAGAAGTGATGCATTTAATGGCTGGCAACCTTCTAGAGGCTGCTTCAAAAAGAGATCCGACCTACCATAATTACGTGGATCGGATTCAATCATCTGCAATCTATGATTTTTAGTGTGAATCAAATGACACGGAGAAAGACTGAAGCTATCTGAAGCTAAGAGAGAGACAGCAAGTTACAGCAACTCAGCAACGGCTTTGCTGATCTTTGCTGCTGGCTTTGCCTGGCTTTGGCCCCAGCCCGAGAGAGGCAAGCTCTGGACTCGCTGGTGCCAAGCGCTAACGGTGTCTCTGATGTCCCGGGCCGTGGCGTCGAAGCGCCTGCCCAAGACAAAGTTGAGACATGTTGAGACAAAGGCGGGAGTTCGTCAAAGCCAAAATTGTTTCAAACATATTCTGGAATGTGTGTGAACCGTGAGTGAACCCTTTGATTGCTTGGAACAATGAATCGTACTGTCTTGTGCAAACCAGAAAGTGCTGTCCTCAAGAATCCTCAAAACACTCTGATCATCTCTGATGGCGTCTTTGAATCACTGCGCAACATGCCCTTTCCTGTGCTGTCCCCATACGGTATTACCGTATTACCGCATGCCACACCAATCTAGCGCTTGTCGCCGCTTCAGCTACCTACTCCTGGTACCAACATACTTTTTTCAGAACAAGCATGTGCAACATAGGTATATGTATTGTGTAACATATGCATATGTAGGTATATACGTATGCACACGCACACACACAGCATATTTACAGTACAATATATATATATAATATATTATGTATAGAGATACCTAGAAAAGGTGGGTCTGGGGGTGGGTGGCATATTGAAGACATACAAACAGTAATACATTACATATATATATATTATTAAATTATATGTTATCTATATTTTATTATATTTTAATATGTTTATGACAATATATGAATATATAATATCATAAGTTAATATATATATATATATACATATTATATTATAAATATATATGATATAATTATTAGATTATCATTATATATATATAATTATATAGTATTTATGTTTATATATGTATATAAACATTATATAATCAATATTAATTGTATGTATTATATGAAAGTATATAATACTATATTATATTAAAGTATATTATGTTATATTGTATGATATTATACTATTATATATATATGTGTTAATTATATTGTGTATAATTATTATATATATAATATATATTACTGTATATTGTGTGTGCATGCTGTGCATGTATGCATCCCCCTGCTTACAATTAATATCAATTAAGATACTGTAATACAATACCACACAATACCCATTTGCTGACATATATGTATGATATGCGTATAGTATAGAGACATCGGGTAGAGATGTGTAGAAATATGATGTCTTTTTTTGTATGATGTTGCATGTAGGCTTGAATACAAAACATTGCAAAACTGCATCTATTTAGGGGGCTGATGGAAAGACATCTAGCATCTCTTTTGAACAAACATGTCCCAGGTCCCCGTCGTATTTATATAGCCAGCTGAGCAAGCAACAAGTTGATCGCAGTTCTTGCAAATCACATAGAGCAGCGCATTTTGGTCTTGCTGCCACAATATTTACTGCTTACAAACCGGATCAAGGTTCTAAGCATTTCTGTGCACCCACCAGTGGTCTGCCAAGCAAGCAAAGAGAAAACGAGAGAAAATGAAACATACCTGCATCTTCTAATGTATGTAAAATTATTGCCGTTTGTGGAATTATTGCTGGCAGCAATTGTTTCTGCTCCCGGGCAATATTTGTAATTTGCTGTTTTTGCATGTGTTTGCTGGTTTTGAAACGGGGAAAAAATCCAACGAAACGGCGAAAAAACCCAACGAAACTGCGAAAAAAATCAAGTCCAAAATGTGAAAACTGAATTTGCGAAAAGAACTGGAAACGGCGATATTTTAGGCAACGGCGAGAATTATATTTCTCTTTTGGATTTCGACCAATAATTTTACATCGGTGGATTTTCCAGGTATAAACCGAGAAAAAACGAGAGACAACAAGATAAAACGATGGACAACGGCCGAAAACGAGAGCATCGAGAATCGAAATGAATCGAAAGTCACACGATGTCACACCTTTGCAGCCAGAAGGGATCAAACGTCAAAGCTTCGGCGCCGAAGCAGGTGGCTCCTAGGTTGCAGGCTGACGCCACAGAAGCTTTCTGGATCTGTCGGTCTCATGTCGCCGTTAATTACTTGGCAAAAAATGCAAAAAGGACATAGAAAGCTTAGGTCAGCTTTGATAAGCCTTCAGCCTTCCTAAAGAACAGTGAAGAACTGCCGTTTGAAAGCAGCACCAGTCAATGCAATACTTTGAGTGTCCCACCTTCCATCGAAATTGAAGGAAGCGCTCCTAGCGGGATGGCACGCTTGTCTTGCGATTTCGCTACTTGAACATCTTAGGATCAAAGAAACAGCATGAAACAAATCAATCGACACTCTCCCATTCTTAGTCTATGATCCGAAGAGAAACCTAAATGTGCCCTTAACACATTGCTTGACAGAAAATGAAAGAAACATGAACATGAATTCACACCAAACAAAATCCGCAGCGACAAAGACAGTTGGATGACAGTCTGTTGGATCTCCTTAGCCCAGACAGCGGGTGACTCAAGCCGCACTGCCTCGACCATCTCAACAGCTCAGGAACAAGTCTTTGTGGCTGTCGCTGGCTTTGTATCGTACATCCAAGCATCTTGATTCAGAACCGAAAACATCTTGACTTGAAACATCTTGAAACTATATTTGAATATATTTGAAACATTTTGAAACTGGGTTTCCCGGCATTTGCTCCGCTAAGGTAGGAGATTGAGGCCTACAGGCCTAGGAACTCCAAATTCAAGAACCCTAGACTTCAGCATATGCCGCAGTAATAATATGCATTTATTATCATTTATTAGCCTTATCATGCCTTATCATGCCTTATCATGCCTTATCATGCCTTATCGCATTCAAACTGCCATGAGAATCTGGGCCACCAGATGCCTTACATCATGGTAGGAGTGATTCTGCTCCGGGAAAGCCAAGACGCATCTGTGGTGAGCGGAGGCTTTCCCAAGGGCCTTGGCACTCTCAAGTCTCACGTGTATATCAACGGATGAGGTACACATGTTGGATCCAAATCTTCACCCACATGGCACCCCATGCCACAAGCAAAATGATCACTTGAAAAACAATGAAAAACATTGAACACCATATAACACCAATTAACACCATGTCAAAAGATGTCAAAAGATCCGACGCGTCCAGGTATCAGAAGCCAAGGCGCAGCATTGGCCCATCATCCGAATTTACAAGCGCCACTATCAAAGGTTTGCGCTTGGAAGTCTTGCCATTAAACGAAGGTCTGCGATGATCAAGAGGAGGCACCCAGCAAACCGAACGAAATCTGCCAGCGTTGCTCTGATGCTCGTGCTCTATCCGTATTGTTGCCCACAAACCTCTTCTGATCAATTCCTCAGTAGCTCAACAAGACAACACGGGGAAAGCAAGGTGGGACATTCTGTGAGTCAGCTAGAAGAAACAAACAGTCAGTTCAGCAACGGACAGCCCAGCAAAAGCCAGCAAGAAAGCGAGACTCGGCGGTCAGTGTTCCAGAGACAAGTTGCAGGATGGTAGTAACCTGGTAACCCTGTGTTAGAGTTTCCTTATGCCTCCGACTCCAAACCCGGGCAGTCCGCAATGCAAAAAGCAACACTTTTTTCCTTGCCTGAGCAAGTAGGTAGGACGTGGTAGGACAGTCTCTCTTTTGTTTCGTCGAGAACTGGGCTCCGGAAGTGTTTGAACAGCTGCCGGATCAGAAAGATTCGTGGTGCCATTTGATGAATTGCAAATCATTTGAAATTTGATTGGTAGCCTTTTGTAAGGGCAACAAACGTTTTTGCAGTTGAAGTGCCCAAATCGGCATTTCATGCACGAGCAGGGAAAGTAAACCATCCAAGAAGTCGACCTGACTCAAGCTTCCACTTTCATTTCCATCCAGCATGTCGAACAAATCTTCCATACTGTTGACTGACGCAGTCTCCAGAATCTTTGGTGGAAGCAGCGTGAGTGGCACGCCTGCAATCTCTTCACGCGTAATGTAGCCGCTTTGATCAGCATCAAGGCTGTCAAAAACGTCAAGCAAACCTGGCAGGGCTGCTTTGATCTCTCGTTTTTTCTCGTCCCTCGCTGCTTCAGCTTCGAGGGAAGACTGCCGAAGGGCATGGTCAACCAAAACAGCCGTAACGAGGTTCATCAAACCAATGGAAAGAAACATCAACAGAGGGAGGAAGTAAATAATCAGGATCGGTTTTTCAACCACCAAAGGGAAGTACACTTCGGCAATTGCATCCATAGTGACGAATTGAAGCAAAGTCAATGTTGCACGTGGCACGCTGCCAAAATGGGTGTCAATGATGGCTGCTGTATCAGTATTGGCGCGCAGTTGTGGATCATTTGTGATTATTTCAGTGGCAACACAACCAAAAATGTAGAGCCAAAGAAGAATCAAACCCATCGTTGAGGCCATTGTGTCCCAAGCTGACAACAATCCGGAAACAAGACGCCAAACAATTTGGAGCCGGCGAAGTGTCCGTAAAACACGAGCCAATCTCAGCAAACGTAGCCCTCTCACGATCAAAACACGCTCCCATTCATCTCCATGTGAGGATTCGAGTGAGGGGGCGACAATAAGCGCGATGATACCCACGACAACCAGAAACAAATCCAGGCAGCTCCATGCAGACTTGAAAATGCCAAATCCCCCTGCACAAATTCGCAGCAAAAGTTCGAATGTGTAGATCGCCAGAAATGATCTTTCAATTTCGGTCGCCCAAGTAGTGTCACGACCCAACAAAGCCATCTCTGCTTCAGCTCCGATCACAATCATGTTGGCAAAAATAATGCCACCAGTGAGATATTCAAACGCCAGCGAATCAACAATCCTGGCTAGGGTACCCTGTATTCTTTGCCATCGTGTCAATTCAGAAAATTCCTTCGAAGTTGCCTCTTGGTCCCTTAAGACTTCTGCCAACAGAATGGGCAGGCGTGCCATGGTTGTTTCCCTCAAAGTCCTCAACCTGCCAGCGGATGCGGTTTTCTGCAGCTGCAGCTTGGGAGGATTGTTTTGTTGGGGATCTTCTGTGCCTTGTCCCTCGCTTGGCCGCGAGTTTGCATCCATCTGCCCTGCACTACTCAGTAGACTTTCGGTGCTCACTCGCAGCTGAGTATGTTGAGTTTGCTGGTTTGGGGGAGCACAGTCAGAAGCAGTGCGAGTATAATGAGTGTCATGTTTTGGTCCATCTGCTTCCAATTTCGACACCACAGCCAGCAATTCTGCGACGCCCTGCTGCCATTCTCGATGTTGGCGCTGCAAAGCATCTAGTCCATGCAGGGATTCCTGCTGCTGCCTTTGAATCTGCTGTAAGGCAGACTGCAAAGAGGCAGGGGTGGACATTTCCGACATTGCCTTTCTGGCACTTTGACCAGTCCTTTGAAATCCCTTGCTTCCCGGGTCTTGAGCATGAGATTTGCGATATTGACGGTTATTGACGGCAGAGTATTGGGAGGTACCATGAATTAGGGAATCGCACTAGGATGCGCTAGTCAAGCACGTGGCAAGCACTAGTTGATGATGTTGATTGTACTACTTAGACTGCCAATTTGCCGAACACAAGACGTGCTCCACTCCTGCCATACAATTACAGCAAATGGTGAGTTGGAAAAACAAAAGCCAAACGCAGCTAATTAATTACATTCTCAAAGGTGAATGACATGAAGTATCATGAAGTCATGCGCCAAAGGATGTCCTGCAGCTTAGGCACCAAGGAACTGATGAGGAAGGCAAAGCACTCCTTGTTAAAGGTTGATGCACCAACATAAGCGCGGCAATCTGGTTGATACGTCAAGAGCCATGTGCTGCGCAAGTATACGTCCAGGATTGCCACAGCGATGTAGGAAAACCGTGGGAAAAGGCAACGGCGACTCTTGAAGCCAAGCAAGCCGAAGTCCACGACCAGGTCCCAGGTGGCAGCATAAACAGTGGCCAAAAAATATCCTCCGAATTTCATGCGTCTATGTTGGAGGCTGAGGGCGTTTGCATGCACTTGTTAATGCGCGGATATGTTTACCTTTTTTTTGGGGGGGGGGGCATACTTCAAAGCCCCGGACAGGTGTTGTGAACCTTTGTAGACTTAGACGGCCACACAGCTCTAACGGCAGTGAACACTCCAACTGGCTATGATCGACTGCTACGGAGACAATCAAACATGATGGAACACATAGAGCAACTTCAGCAACTGAGCGCAGCACCAAGAGTTTGAATCACGTTAAGCTGAAACGAGGTAAGCCCTCTGGGAGGTTTTCCCACCGATGTGAGCAAGCTGACAAGGACAGCAAACACATATTTGCCGCAGTTCAGACCGTGCCGGAACTTCTCAGGCGTATCCCGCATTCGCCTATAGCACTGAGCAATTCTGAAAAATAAAGGCAGCAATAATAGGATTTGCACGGTGCAACCTGTCCAGGCAGAATTTTTACAAATCCGTCGGACTTCCCGATCTTGATTGGTGTGCCAATGTCTGAAGTAACAGCCAGTGTATGCAACATCTTTCAGTGGACGCCCAAGTGACGTCAGAACATCTGCCAAGACATTCTCAGCGAAGCTGACCTCCCCGAGGCATGAGAAACACAGGATCCGAATGAACAGGCGAGAAAATAATCTGCGAGTGGAAGCCGTCATCCAGCTTGATGTGATAAGAAACTGCATGATAAGAACGCTGCTCGAATAGATGTGGGCAAGAGAAAAACCATGAATGCACGGAATGGACTGCAAAACAGCTCCAAACTTCATATCTGCAATAAAGCAGAAGCTCAAGACTATCCAAACTCCAGTCTGTAAAGATGCGTAGTTTAGCAGTGACATAGCGGACACCTCCAAATCAGGAGAGATGTCCAGCAAAAACAAGTAATTGATCTTGTAGTGCTCAAAAACCCATGCACAGGCTCCAGCCAGCCAAGCTGTCAAATTCATCATGAACGAAAGACGCAGTACCGGAATCGTTGCCTGTGCAACACCAACATGGGAAATCATCGACACAAATATGAGAAATAAATAATCGAATACCTTAAAAATCGGGAAGGAGCAAAGGAGGATTTTAATTGAATGATGGACCGTGATCCTGCCATGAGCGAACTGGTGAAAGACACACACACACACACTGGACTGGTTTTGAGAAATTGAGCTGGATCCAAAGTGGGTGCTCCACGAAATCCGAGTCGAGGTCGAAAAAGTGCCAAATCAACAGAATTCGAAACCGTGTGAATGGAAACATGGTAGAGTTTTAGCACACCATTGAACAGGAACAGAAATCAACAGTTCAAACTGGTTTGGTGCAGGTACACACGGGTGATCAGTCCGTGCTTCCTGGGATGTTTGCAAGGAGCTTCGTTGGGCAGAGCTTTGCAAGTCCCCTCTGCCCCCCCCCCCGCATGTTTGAAAAAATGTGACGACTGATTCAAAAACCAGGCCCTGTGCAAGAAGGGTGTACACACACAGTGCATATTTTTAGATATTTTTTAGCATGCAATGGAATATGCGCGCCGTGCACCTGAGATGTCTTGTAGCATTGTAGTATATGGTATATGAATATATATGAATATGTAATATAATATCTCCATAATGATGCGCGTGTGTGTGTGTGTCTCTCTCTCTCTCTCTTTCTGTGTCTGTGCGTGCGCTACAATACGGTCTCACAAGAAGTCTTGCAGTTCCACATGGCGTCACATTTCAAGATATCTCAAATGGAATTGAAAATGCTGATAAAATATGATGAAATTAGGGAAATTGAGGCAAGAGACAGCAAGGTCCTCAACCGAAAACTGGTCAATCTGTGGCTCCATGCCAGACAGAACGGCAAGCACCACCAGAGCCATGGAGATAACACCTAAGAAAAATGAGATCCGTGCCACTTGTGCCAAGGTATTCTCACCCCGATCAAGGGCCCATGGAGAATTCTCGACCCCCAATTCGCCTCCAAATCTCTCAAGTCTTCTTTGAAGCTCTTCCAGCCGAACTTTTCCAGGTTCGTTAAAAGTTTCTCCCAAAATCTGCGGCAGCAACTGTTTTGACAAAGCAAGGCCAGTTTGCTTGTCATGTTTTTTCAGGATTTTGTAGAGCGCAGTGTGGTTGGCAGCTGAGAAATGGGTCAAGTCTTGCAGGGTGGCTTGCAATTGCCCGATCATACTCTGCAAATGTCGGCGAAGCTGAAGCTCAAAGTCAGAGCCTTTGTTCTGTTCCAGCTCATCTTGCCCTGCAACGAGCCGTGACTCCACTTCGTCTGCAACCGACGTGAAAAACTCGTTGGTTCTGTCTATGGAAGCCTGAAGTTCCGCCACCCACTCTTGACTCACTTTGACCGCATCACGTGGTGAGGCACCATCACTGGATGAAACATCTCTCTCCAATCTACCCCCAGCTGTACTGACAGAAGCTGACAGGTTCTTGCCGCTCTTTGGATATCCTTTCAAGGACCTCTTGAGTCCATTGTAGTCAACATAGAAAGCATCCCATCCACGGATCTTGTGCCGCTCCAATTGTTTCCCAAATTTCATTACTGGCCATCAGCCGCGCTCTGCTGCGCGCACGGAAGTTCACTACATTCCAATCTCGGGGCAAGAACAAGCAGCAGCGCACCTGTCTCTCCCACACAAAAAAACTCTCAAATACCTATTCCAACCTATTCCCTATTTCTCTCTCTCTCTCTTTCTCTTATTCATCTATTCTCTGTATGGGCATGAATGGCGTCCCACCAGCATCACCAGCAAAACAACCATGCCAGTCTATGCCGCTTGAAATACTGTCGTGATCTGACGTGCAAAGCCGTGCGCTTGCTTTTGCAAATTCTTGTCTTCAGCAACTAGATCAATCTAGATCACGTAGCATGGTTGAGTGACTTTGTGGCCTCACCGGCCTCAGTGCTATGCCTGCTACATCCTGCACTGCTACAGTACGCCTTGCGCTGTGCGGAGTCTCTCAGAACTCTTCATCGCAGCAAACGAACAGTGGCACCTGGGACTCCGGGACCATAGCCGACAGTGCTGCATTCCCAAGGTCAAAATGTCTTGAAGGACCCCACCGGAGGGATCCAGAGGGATCCGGACAACCAGCTTGCCCCACATGGAAAGAATCAAAATGAATCAAAATGAATCAATGTTCGTTACGTGTTTTTCTTCTCTGCTTTGTTGTCAAGTGTTGACCCCAATTTGCATGCTATGGCCAAGTGTGAGAAACTGGGCCATTCGCGCAAAGGACGGTTCCCCAGCCTTGGTCTTCAGAAGCAGCTGGGAAACTAGCAGAAAATATATTACATATCCAAACAGCTGAATCTGAAGATGTATGAAAAGAGCTCAGCATAGCTTGAGATGAGCTGCCCAGTATTGTAGGGATGGCCGACATGAAGTAAATTGCAACGGACTTCCTCAGAAGCACAGCATGGTTTCATCTGTTTTCTTGACGAGGATAGCCTTTTTTCAATGCAATCATGGCAAATCCACACGTATCATGCAAAGTACGCTAGACTTGCCAACCATTGCGAATCTTGGGCGGTGGCAAATGCAACAACATGGCCGACAAGAAGCACATGGCCGTTGAGAAAGGCAAAATCTCAGAGGTCGGGTACTGATGGGCACTGGAGAATATGACAAATGCAACGGCCATAATTAACTGCGAAGGTCTTGGACACTGAGAAAAACATAAAAAGAAAAACAAGTATATAAAACTAGTTAGTGGTTCTTCGGGAGATGTCAGGATTACCATGGGGCCTCATAGAGCACGACTTTGGTAGTCTGTCACTGTCACAGGTACCAACATTTGGAGTGCGCGGAATAACTGGCAATTCAGTTGAAACAAAAACAGGTCCTACATTGTAGACAGTAGAACTGTGCAGAACAGGCATTGGTACGAACCTCTTCCCCACAAATACCACGACTACAAGCAGCTGGATGCTCAACAAATGATGAATGCATGAAACCAAAGACAAATAAGATAAGCAAAGATAAGGAAAGGCTTCTATATAAATCTATATAAATATATTCATATTACCATATTACACATAATATCATATAATATGACATCAAATTACATCACACACTCAGGTCCCGACACTTACTGAGATCATCACGAAGCGGAAGAAACAGAGAACGCACTCATCTTCACTGTCATAACCTGAAAGATCTGAAAGCACTGAAAGCGAAACATGGCAAAACGCTTGGAATATCTTGGAGGCGTTGCTTCAAAAAGACTCGCTTCACTAGTTTGTATCATGCCAATCGGTTGATATCGGTTGCGATCGGTTGGACAATGATGTATAAAGTATACCGGGCTATGCCCCCCCAGCCAACCACCCCTCCCCTTAGAAAAGCCTCGTTTCAGTTTTGCTTGCAGCAAAAGCTGGTTGGCTATGGCGCTCAGCAAGGTGAAAACGCAAACCTGCTTGGTCACAGCTGTAGCTGCATGGTCACGGCTCCAGCACTTTGCACAAACCAAAACGAATTGCCACTGGACGCCCTAAATTTGCTGAACTACCCTCAATATCCAGGAGGGGCTACTTCACGTCAAAGATTCTACACGCTACACACTCCCGAGTGGCCAACAAGAAGGTTGGTCAAATGCAACGGGTGCTGTTCATCACCTCTGGTCCAAGCTGTTTGACTGCATTTCAATGGGGGTCCTGACAATGACAATAGCAATGGCAGCAATGGTTGCAACAGTATGGAAAGGTCACCAAAACACAGAGACTGAGACTACAGCCCATATATGCCCATATCAAATAATATATCAAACAGAGCAAGCAATTCCGTGCCCTGTATTGTTGCTCTCTGCATCATCTTCTTTGATTATCCTTCTCTCAAGAATTAGGTCCGCTATTTTCTGGTCAGCTCAGGTTCTGTTCATTGATATATATATATATTATATATTATATATATTATATAAGTGTCTGTGTTGCCATACTGGGCACCCAGCAATGACTTGGATGAAAAAGGCACATTTGGCAACGAAGGCCATTGTCAGCGTACCTAATCTCACGCAATCAACCGTCACACAGCCGCAGCTACACACACATATATATTGCTGCCCTGAGCCCAAGCAATTGAATGTTCCATCATATTCCTTGCTTCTCATTCCTTCCAACCACTTCCTGGGGGTGCTCGACTTGAAGGTCTTGCATGGCTACTTTCACTAAGGCACTAAGGCCATCACCAGGCATAGAGGTAGGCAGCAATGCACATCCTGCCGGATTTTTTTGCTGAATACTGGACAGGAATCAACATGTTTCAAGTGGGCTACCCTTTCGCTGTCAAATGAGGGCTCGGCTGTTGTGGAAAATCCTGCACCATGAACTTTAGCACAATCCTGATAGCGTAAAGACTTTTCTGAGGAGGTCCCTCACAAACTCTCACAATAATTATGTACAACATGCAGGAGTTACAGTAAACCCAAAGCTTCTTAAGCAAAACTTGACCCACGCCACACTGTTCTAAATTTCCGAAGTAACCACAAAGTTTGCAGTGCAGCAAACCTTGTCTTTTATTTAGCTACTTGGGGCCACTTGGATTCGAAACATTTCGGTTAAGGCTAAGGATCCAAGTGGATTAGAATAAACTCCATTATCCAGTGAGTGATAGTGAGTGATTACATACAATGAGTTAAGCAGGTTAAGCCGTGTTATCAGGTTGAAGGCGGGTATTGCTGTCTAATCTGTCTAGGAGTTGAAGGTGTTCAGGCATTCTTGCAGCATCTTGGCCAAGACATGGCAAGAGAAGCGTAGCAAACTACTTGGGTCCTTTGCAGGGGTTTGGCTAATGTCCTGACTGTATCATACTGTATCAAATGACCCAAGAAAACATCCAGCAGTGGACAAAACTTGACACTGGCATGGGACTCATGGGACAAGAACACTAATGAAGGCAAAATAGTGGCCATACAATCTGCTAATCTCAATGTATTGTAGCTCCGGGGCTGAGCCAGCAAGAGAGGAGAATGTGCAATCATATGCAATCATGTTCAAGCTGAAACTGAGACATTCTGTGAGTAGTCCTGGTTGTAAGCTTGGTAGGTGCCCTGTGATTTCAGAGCAACTTTCCATGACTGACTGGCACTGGGCGGTCTGAAGGAATGACCTTGATAATCATGACATCAAACACGTTCACAACTTGCGAATCTTGAGGGTTTCCTACCTCTAGGATTTCCTACCAGGCAGATTCATCATCCAAGGGGCACTCGACTCAGTAATCTCCCAGTGTCGACCTGAAGTCGTGCTCTTGAAATCGGATCTTGCTGGCGAACCCAAATGAATCTAATGCCGGCCAAAGCAGAAAATAGGGAGAAGTTTCACAAGCACCAGTCAACATGCATGGGCATTGGGCCATGTGGCTACTGTATACATGAATACATATTCTGTATATGTATCATATGTATTATATAATTATATATATACATACATACATATGCAAACATGAGGTGTGCAAACTGATAAATCATAACATATAATTACAATATTCTATAAATATCTATAAGTATTATATCGTATGTAGGTACGTATATACATATATTGTACACACACATACATCATCATTATGTAAATGTAAATTTTAAATGTTTGTAATTAAACATAAATATATGCGTATATATATAATTATATATAACCGTATATTATTGTGTAATATTGTGTACTTATTTCATCTTATTTCCGGGCTCACTCAGCTTTGTGCAAAGAGAAAGAACCTGCGCAACACCTCGGTGCAGACTGTTCTGCTTGAACTCCAAGCTGGTGCGCCACGGTGCGCCACGGTGCACCATGGTGCACCACTGACATCCACTGACACCGTCCAATCAAGATCCCCAAACTGTCAGATTTATAAAATTTTATAAATATAACATGCTTTGCCATGCTTTGCTACAGTGCTACAGTCTTACCGAGTCTTACCAGTACCATGTTTCAATTGCAGAATGGCGCTTGCCAGAAAGGTCCAGACCAACGCCGCCAACGACAACTGAACCTTGATGCAAAGAACATCAAAGAACGTTTAAAGATTTGAAGGATGTGCCAAGCCATAGAAAGGAAAGCGATGGAAAGGGATTGTTTGCGGGACATAATGAGTATTGAGTTTGTTTAGATTCTAGATCGTTCAAATATGTTTAATTTACTTTAAATTGTGCTTTTGAGACATGAGGCCGTGTGGTTCTTTCTCCTCTTGCGCTGTCCGGCTTTGAGACTTTCAAGGCCTGCTCTGGATCCACCGGTTAAGACGGTTGCAATCGGTTGCAAACCCGTCGCTACTTAAGGTAGCCGCCAATAGGAAGAAGGTAGTAGCACTTTGTGCAAAGGACAGCACCTGGCATCCAAGTTCAATCGAACAAGTTGGCACGTGAATCAGAACTCATCATCCAAAAAAGACTTCCTCTTGGCTCAGGCTTGGTGCAAACATGCCTAAACAAAAGACAAAAGAGAACATTGCATTGTCTCTGCATGCAAGACTTTACCACTTCAAATGCGCTTGTCAAACCCGGTGGTGCTTCCCCTGGTCACGCTCATTGAAGTTTTGCCTGCGGGCGCCAGGTGAGATTTGTGAGCCTCATGAGCCTCATGAGCCTCTGTTTCTGTTTCAGGCTGCCACTGCGTCGCACGACTCTTGGGCAATCTGGATTCACTGAGGATTTGGCCAGCTACCTTCAAAGCTACATTGTTTCTGTTGATGGATGTCCTGAGATCTGAGAAGACTGGCACGGATGAGAGCCAAAGATATCCAAACACTGGAAAGATATTTACATATATATAATAATTTATATATACATATATATATCTCTCAATATATTTAATAAATAAATAAATATATATATATATATATATATGAGCGACGGCTCTTATTTGCGTATATGGAAAGTAGTATTCGGGCGTACCCCGGTTTGTCAAAAACATCATATTTAGCTTGTAAAACGAGGTAGGAACACCCCGAGAACGAGGTAGGCAAAAACGTTACGGGACTGGAGAACGAGGTAGGAACACCCCGTCAATTGCGTTATGTAACAAATATGGTTCACAGCTCATATATATCATATAATAATATATAATTATAATCAAAATCTCTTTCGGTTCTGCCTCCAGGTGGGATATGCGGGAGTCGATGATGAAAATAGCAACGCGTGCCTGTCACTCTGGAAGGCTAAAAGCGATCTGCACAAGACGAACAAGACACAGTTCTTTACTTGGCAACTATATAGTGTTCCGTAGTTTTCCGTAGATTTCCTCGTCCACGTTTTCTTGAACATCCGGAAGGTTTTTGTGGTGACTGTAGCAGGCTGACACGGTGACAGTTCGAGCCTCGTCTGGGTATTTGGATTTGAGGTTCACCGTTGCATCCCAAGAAGGCTCCTGTCAGGAATTCGACAAACCCGCACCAACCAAACAATTCCTCTCTGTTCCCACCACTTCCCAGAACTTGCATGTCCCACCTCATGACGTTCAATGATGACAGTGTACCTGCCATCAGTGTCCAAATATGATGCCAAACCTTTCCAGGCCCAAAATCTCTCTTGCGAGAATGCGTGTGCCCGCGTGGCCTGCTTCCCCAGCTGTGGCTCACAATGTTGCCACCGTGACCTATGGAACCTTACATATGTTTCCAGTACAAGTCATCCGTCATTGAGAGATATGAAAAGGTAAAAACAGCCACATACAGCCACCCATCGAGCTGAATCATCCAACTGAAATGCAGCAGGTCTGTGCGGTGCTAAGGTTGTGTCCATCTTTGCCGCTGGGGTGAATGATGACCTGTGCATCAGGACGCTGCATACAGGTCTGCAATGGCAATCATATGAGGTTCAACAAAAGGCTGGCCCAAACAAGCTCCTCCATCTCCGGCACAGAATTACAGTATGCCTTGCCTGCCATTCTGCCATTGCATGAGGTGCCTGTGGTTGAACCTTGCACGGAGCGTTGATTAGGCTACAATTAGGAGGCATGCCTTTTGACAATTGATGACAATTGGTAGGTAGGGTCCGGTAGGGTGGAATTTGACTTAAACTGACAGCACCTATGTTGCGATCTCTGCTCCAGTATGTTCCACTTGTGTTTGAGGAGTGGGAGTCCGCCTGGCATGAACCACCTTCATCCATCTTGCTGCTAGATTCTAGCGACTGGTGTGGGAATCATTGAGAATGTATGAGATAATTACATGGATGATAAGCGTGGATTTTTCGTCTTCAAATGCCTTTGCCTTTGATGTTATTGATGCATTTGATGCCTTTACATTCGGTAATTTCATGTAATTTCCAATCCGAGAACTTTAAGGTCCGTGCACCAAGCAGAAATGTTGGAGGATGTGACCTGGGCTGGTGGCATCTTTCGGATTATGTCACCTTTGCTAGTCAATTCATGTCAATTCTATCAAAGCTCACACCATTGACATGATGCCGAGTGTATCATAGTGTCAATGTCCTTGCAGTCTTCCCTGAAGAGACATAATGAGAGTAAGACCTCAAACCGGACTGACTTGCTGTTCTTGACTAATGTGTTGCGAGATGTTGCGAGCAATGCTTTACGGCATTGTCATGATGAGTATGGTACCGTCGAGTCTTGACATGTGCTGAGTGACGTGGCAACTGTTGGTACTGAAGCTCTCAGTAGCTCTCAGCTCTGAGTAGCTCTTGGCTCTTTAACATTCTTTAACTCCTGAGCCCCAGGACGCTGTCCTGAAGGAAAAGGTCTGAGTCCGGGGAATGACGAAGTCAAAGTCTGCCTGACGGGCAATGCTCTTCACATGACGAGTGTTACGTATCACCACGGCACGTGTCCCCCAAGTGTCAAACATGTCCAACATTTGAAAGCCATCGAAAGAAAGAACCCCACACCATGCAACACCATGCAGCATCATGCAACACCATGCAACACAACAAGAGGAAGCTGCAGAATGCTGCGGACATTGCGTTTTTGAGCATGATAGATTAATTTCCATCCTCGTCGGCCAATCTAATTCCGGCGTTTGCCGGTTAGACTCTGCCAAGTCCAAAAACTTTGGCTTTATGCCAGGACACCAAGGCATAGCAGGACCATGCAGGACCAAACAACAATATCAACAATGAATTTCAAATTTCATTGCTACATATTGGCGGCATCCTGCAATTTCAGCCCGTGGTGTCCCTGTCATTCAGCTAGGACTTGGCGAATGAAACCCAAGCTTCGCATGCACGACACAGCAGGATCGCTTTTACAATCCAGGGAACAAGCTTGCCTTCAACCCCATGTAAAGGTTACAAGATGTTACAAGATTATTCTGCAGCATGCATGTTGTACATATTTGTCCATATTTGGTAAACCATAAGAACCGTATTAATATAGTTTCGTGTGCCCTTGCCCGTTCTGTTTCACAACATTCAAAAACTAATAGAAATGTTGAATCCACGGAATAGCTGTCACATCGCATGTCTCACGATGTGCATCTGCTGACCTTGACCACATTTGACGCAGGCCCAGTGCAGCAGCTCCGCTGTGGTCCATCATGATGTCTTCACTTTTCATATAGTTTTTATATAATATTATATAATGATGTTTCTACATGTTTCTACATCATCGGGCGGCAATCATTCCAGCAAATTCCAGTGCTATGAAGCTATTTGAAAATATAGAAAAATGCACAGATCTAAGAGACGAACATTGTCCTTGTTGCCACAGAAATTGACCAGGGTTGACCTCATCCCAGCTGAAGTCACTCTTTGCACTGCTGTGCCCAAATCCCAAGAGTGAAGCATATATGGCACAGCAAAGCCACAAAGTGTGGAGTGGATGTGCCTGGAGTCTGTAGCAGAGGCCCTGGTGTGGCTCTGGTACACCAAGTTGCAACCAAGCGTCACAACTCCAATTGGTATGAAATTCAGGAACGACAGCCTTAGCCAGCTGAATTGGATTGAATTTGTTGAAATTGAAAGGTGCTGGATGTTGCTGGACTAGGAGCAACGGAAGTTGCGGAAAGGCAATTCTTTTTCGTATGTGTGCCTTTTCTGGGTGAGGGCTTCCACACAAGGCGGCTTGAGCATGAGCAAAACGGTTGGAGCAAAAGCAGGTACATGAATGGTAAATACCTACATCATTCTATATACATCATCCATACCCTCAAGATCAAACAAACCCCCTTGTCCGACATTTTAGAACCCCGGATCTGGGGTCTAAAATCGTTTTCCCTTAAAAAACCAAGGGTTTCCCAATTTGTGAACGGAAGCCATTCTAGAACCCCAGCATGTACGGAGGGGTAGGGTTCTAAAATCGTTTTCCTGTAGCTATATAATCATGGAAAATTGACACGTTTTTTTTTGGGAATCCCCTTGTTATGATTTATATAAAGCAAAATTTTGCATTTCATTTCCGCACAGTTTTTGTCCTCCCGTACGCACTGCACAGTTCAGGTCATCATAATGTTTTGGATTTTTCTGTTTTTGACGGATTTTTACAGGCTGCGTCAGGTCCACCTTTTCCGGAAAACATAAGCAGCACCTTTTTTTTAAGCAAAGTCGGGATGGATGCAAAAATCGATTGCAACCTTTTGACCCCCTTTCCCCCCCACTGACTGCGTCGTCCAGTCATCTTTTGAAACCACCCTCTTCCTTTTAAAACATATCCTACCGCATTACAGTCTGGCAAGACTATCGCATTGAAGGAAAGATTGCCTTGCCCATGACCAGTCTCAAAACTTCCTGGGCCATCAGTCTCTCCCCCTTCTTTGTTCTCCGAACATTCTCTATCACATGTATTGCCTTGCAGACGGATGCAAAATGCAAAGCCATGTGACAAAATGGCTAAGTTTGGGTTACAGCTGGCCATCAGTCAGCACCGGTGGGTCTAGACTGGTTGTCTTCAAGCTCCAAAAGTATTTTGACACGCATTGACCGCATTGACCTGGGGAAGATGACTATAGACCCGCGTCCTTCTTTCCAAACAGTTGGTTGAACCAAAAGTCCTGGTACCTAAAGAATGTGCAGAAGGATGTAGAATGTAGAAGGGATGCCAAAGGATGGCTAAGCGGCTAAGTTGGCTTATAGCTGGCCATCAGTCAGCACCTGGGGTTCTAGAATGGTTGCCTTCAAGCTCCAAAAGTACTTTGACACGCATTGACCTGGGGAAGATGATTATAGACCCGCATCCTTCTTTCCAAACGGTTTGGTTGAACCAAAAGTGTTGGTACCCAAAGAATGTGCAGAAGGATGTAGCATGTAGAAGGGATGCTAAAGGATGGCTAAGCGGCTAAGTTGGCTTATAGCTGGCCATCAGTCAGCACCTGGGGTTCTAGAATGGTTGCCTTCAAGCTCCAAAAGTACTTTGACACGCATTGACCTGGGGAAGATGATTATAGACCCGCGTCCTTCTTTCCAAACGGTTTGGTTGAACCAAAAGTGTTGGTACCTAAAGAATGTGCAGAAGGATGTAGCATGTAGAAGGGATGCCAAAGGATGGCTAAGCGGCTAAGTTGGCTTATAGCTGGCCATCAGTCAGCACCTGGGGTTCTAGAATGGTTGCCTTCAAGCTCCAAAAGCATTTTGACACGCATTGACCTGGGGAAGATGATTATAGACCCGCATCCTTCTTTCCAAACGGTTTGGTTGAACCAAAAGTGTTGGTACCTAAAGAATGTGCAAAAGGATGTAGCATGTAGAAGGGATGCCAAAGGATGGCTAAGCGGCTAAGTTGGCTTATAGCTGGCCATCAGTCAGCACCTGGGGTTCTAGAATGGTTGCCTTCAAGCTCCAAAAGCATTTTGACACGCATTGACCTGGGGAAGATGATTATAGACCCGCATCCTTCTTTCCAAACGGTTTGGTTGAACCAAAAGTGTTGGTACCTAAAGAATGCGCAGAAGGATGTAGAATGCAGAAGGGATGCCAAAGGATGGCTAAGCGGCTAAGTTGGCTTATAGCTGGCCATCAGTCAGCACCTGGGGTTCTAGAATGGTTGCCTTCAAGCTCCAAAATTATTTTGTACTTTCCAAACAACATTGGCATTGTGTGGGAGGTTAAGGCAATGGTGAGGCTCTTTTTTTTCAATTGCGAATGTTGCCCGATATAATTCAACACCTTGTTTATCATCGCACATTGCTGCAGCTGCTCAACACCGTTTTACCTCCTTTTTTTTGGAAATGTCAAACCAAGCGACATTGAAACCACCTGGTTTTGAAAATGGAAATCGTGACCGACCAAAACGAGGGATGTTAATTCCAAACATGTTTTGCGCCTTCGTGCAGAGACCTCATCATGACTTGGTTCCTTTTTCTGCACTCCAAAATAATGACCTTTCTTGCGGTCTGTTGGAATCAATTCATACCACAACAACGCTCATATATCCAAACTTTCAGGGTTCTAAAATCATAGCCGTTAAAGGTTCTAAAATCATAGTGGTGATGATTTTAGAACCCTCAACGGGAACCCCAGGGGGGGAGGGATTCTAGACACCTCGATCTTGAGGGTATCATCATCCTACATCCTGTTTTGGTAGCATTTAGGAAAACCTTTGATCCCTTCTACTCGTCGCTGTCTCGGCCACAGAATTGTTGTTGAGCTGGCCGCTCTTTGCAGCAGGATTTGCTGCAATAGCTTGTGCCAATCAGATCTATACTCTCTCACAATCACGCGGGTGCGAGCGAGTGGCAGGGAATAACCCAATGGCATGCCCAAAAGTGTCAAGGGCATGACTTTGCTTTCGCTCTCCAGTTCGTCACCTCAGGAAGCCAAAGCAGAGCCCGAATCTAAAGCAGCCCAGACTTTGCACCCCACTTCCGGAGCACGAATTGGACGGAAGGAATATGAGAAAGAATATGAAAAAATATAAAAGAATGAGACAGAATGGAAAGCACTTTTCAGACTCTCCAGAACTGACTCTTCAGACCTTGAACTGCCGTAACGATCCGTAACGTACAGATATGTACAGACTATATGACTATAAATCACGCAGACCCCGGTTGCTTTTCAAAGCATGTCAGGACATCCTCAACACAGGGAACGATAGGACACACCATGATTTTCCTGAGGCTTTGGGCCGGACCAAAGTTCTACATGGATCTACAATTTACAGTACATGCGGTACTTTCGTCGTGCAAAAACAATACTCCAAGACCAAAGTTTTCCAGTGAGCTTCAATCTGCGTAGCACATCTTGGCGCTTTATCATGCCACTAAAAGGGTGGATGGATCATGGCATGTAAAGTTTGGCATGTCACTGAGACTGGCCATCATGTCGGTGGACTTCTCCAACTGTTCTTTGCTGCATGCCAGGCCAGTGTTTTGCCTCGAAACAGCGAAAGTCTTTCAGGAACACGTTATTAATACAGATCCAATGTGAACCCACATCCGCAAATGTTGAGATATGCCGGGATGCTATTATCATCGATTTTCAATGTCCCTGGTTTTCCTGCCTGCTTTCGTCATCGTGCTTCATGGCAATCAGCAGACAACGTGTGCGGTTCAGTATGAAACGGTGACGCTCCTGAGAGTTGCACGTGTTCCCAACTGATTCAAACATCAAATTACACCAAGTGACATCTCAACATTCTCAACATAAGTACATCAACAATTTCCGTTGATTTCAACAGAATGACGCCAACCAAAACAAATAAGGCCGAGCATCAGCCGCCTCGTTCACCTGCTTGAGTGATCTTGAGTGTCTAAACCATTTTGCACTGAGTGGCATGACTAGCTGAGTCTGAAGGAATTTGGAACACACTCCCCGCTTCCTGCTTGCCGTTCTTACAAGGATACATAATAATTAAGGATATATAAGGATACTACATTTAGATGCATTTAGTTAAATACGTGCGTGCGTGTGTTCTTCAATGTATTATTTTTGTGTTCAAGTAGTTCACATGTCCAGTATCTGTATATCGCCACTCCAAACATCTGACCGCGCTCGGTGTACAGTGCCTCATTGCCCAGGTACACCAGAAGCAGAATGCTGACAATCAGGGCAGTGCTGACCAGTCCCGCCACGAGTAAAGAGGCCAGGTTGACGCCACTTAGTTCAGTGTACTCCTGGGGGCGCACCAACAAGAATCTTTTGGAGAAAACATGAGAAAATATGAGGAAAACATAGGAAAACACTATTTGCGGCGAGGTGATAAAGCTGCTCTCTCTCCCTCTCTCCATCCCATGATCCAAAAATGACTCTCAAGTCTCCGACCTGGCAATTGTGAAAACACATGGAAAATTACGGAAAAACAACAGAGTAACCGAGAGCAACTCTCATCCCTTCAGAGCCAGTTGGCGGGGACGAGCATTCCAATCATGAGATCAGCCAGGATGATGAGCAAAAAAGCGAAAAACTCGGCCTAGGTGGCAGCTGCACCGTGAAGCTGGTAGCAAGAAACTAGCAAGAAAACTCAGGAAAGCTGACTTGCGTTTCTTACAATAACACAATCAACATCATTGAACACAAATCTTGGGAGACAGATTCGCTCATTAGCATTGGCTGACTCATTGCGACTCAGAATCTGAGAACGCACGGATCCGATGATGATAAAACTTCCCCCACTCTCCGCAAAGTTGGCGAAGTTTCCTCCATCCTGCAATGGTTTTCACATCCTCGGTGAGCAGCTTGCCGCGCCTCTACGTTCGTGCCTTTACATGTTACTTCCATCTATCTATCTATCTATCTGTCTGTCTGCCTGCCTGCCTGTCTGTCTGTCTGCCTGCCTGTCTGTCTGTCTGTCTGCCTGTCTGTCTGTCTGTCTGTCATTGTCTATCTGTCTATCTATCTGTCTATCAACTATCTGAATCTATCTGCATGTATCTGCACCATCTGTTCGCATCAATCAAACCGGCAGCTTCATGGAAACATGCACAGTTTGTACTTGTACCATCAAGCCAGGTTTCTGAAAAATCCAGAACCGGAAGCATATCCACCTGTTGGGCGCAAATGTATCCAAACAACGTTGCAGAAATCCAAAACAGCATGAAACAATGCAAAACAGTTCCCTTGTCGATACTCAAAGGCTCGGCATGCTTCTACCAGGTATGCCCACTACACCCATACACACACAAAACTTAAACCTCCAGTTCTACATGGAACTCCCGTGAGCTACACGTGAGAGTCATGAGTCAAAGAAATCACGGGAGGAAAATCACTTGAGCAATCACTTAGAGCATATCCGCCGCCGCCAATCAAACGGCCGTGCCAACCGCTGTGCCGCCGATCCTCGGCTGGGCAATGACGCCGAAACTCGCGCTGCACGGACAGCATGGCTGCACAGCTGCGCATCAAGGCCCGGCGCCTGCACTGATGACGTGCAGAGACCGAATTTTGCGAAATTTCCAAAGATGAAATACTTGAGGCCAAAGGGAAGGGGATGAAAATTAGTTGGGCAAGGAGGGATGCGTATTGAGAGAATATGTGGCGCGACCTTTTGAGTGTCATTTTTTTGGCTGACACGCTAGCAGCAGCGTATCATGATATTGTAGCTCGCCTGCACCATAATCAATCCACAGCCCTCCCCCTGACATAGCATACCGGCGTCAATATTGCGCTCCTAGTACTCTACTTGCCAAATACAAAGTGCCCCAACCGAACGGGGTTCGGTCGAGCCACTTTGCGATCATCTGATTGAACCTCTTTCCTTCGGCCTTTCCTTCCTTGTTCCTGTCTGTGACATATTATATATATATATATGCACATGTCCATGATGAATATATCCAAGTGTTTCTATAACATGTATATATATATATACATACACTAATTAAACTAAATAATGCTATAATTGTATATAATTAAATATCTATATTTAAATATATATATAATTACATAAATAAATATATATATATAATTAAATATATATATATATAATTAAATATATATATATATTATATATATAATTAAATATATATATATATAATATATATATAATTAAATATATATATATATAATTAAATATATATATATAATTAAATATATATATATATATAATATATATATATAATTAAATATATATATAATATATATAATTAAATATATATATATATAATTAAATATATATATATATATATATCCACTATACAAAAAAAAAAATCGTAGAATCTGGTACCTTAGGTGCATACATCTATCGAGCAAGAAATGCTTGGGAATCTTAAGATGCGCGTCTTCCATTCCTCGCCAAAACAGGGTAATGTTTTCATGCAGACATCTTAAGGAAATGGAATGCAAGACTCCAAATGAGAGTACGTTTTCACCACGACTAAAACTAGGTTTCCAAACCACGACAAAACCCGGCTGCGAACCACGACAAGGACCAAAGATTTTAAGCACGATTGGCAAACACATAATCGACTGTCTGCGTAGCCAGCAATCACACTCTTAATGAACTGGTTTCATTGTGTTTTAATCAATCAAATGCTTCATTCCCAAAAAAAACAAACAACACAAACTACTATGAGAATATATAATTACAAATATATATATATATATACCTTACTATATATGCATATTTACCAATTTATAAAAAAAAAAATCCATTGCCAGTTGCGCATTGTTTTCCATTGCCAGTTGTGATGGATCTGTTTGGCATCAGTGATTGAATCCTGCTTGATGGTTACGTTTCACCTATCAATTAGCCAGCTGACCATTTTGGTCAAGTAGAAATCAACCCTAGAGGTTGAGAAAAGCGGAACAGACTGGTCACAAAATCGAAATATACAAACAGAAGCAGAAGCAATGTATGGATATAAATGTTGAATGCGAAAAGAAAAGGTTCATTGTCATTCTCAGGACATCAGCATGGAGTGAAATCAGCAAATCTTCTTCCGGTGGATGATTTTCTTCACCTGCGCCGACCAAAACTCTTTTCAACCCCAGGAGTCCGTAAGCTTACAGTGGAAGCCTTTTCCACAAAATCCGGTACAAATCCGTAAACAATCCGGAAGCCTCCTCCCCAAAATCCGGTACAAATCCGTAAACAATCCGGAAGCCTTCTCCCCAAAATCCGGTAAAAAAACCGTAAAAAATCCGGAAGCCTCCCCCCCAAAACCCGGTAAAAATCCGTAAACAATCCGGAAGCCTCCTCCCCAAAATCCGGTAAAAATCCGTAAACCATCCGGAAGCCTCCTCCCCAAAATCCGGTAAAAATCCGTAAACATTCCGGAAGCCTTCTCCCCACAATCCGGTACAAATCCGTAAATAATCCGGAAGCCTCCTCCGCAAAATGCGGTAAAAAACCGTAAACAATCCGGAAGCCTCCTCCCCAAAATCCAGAAAATTCCGTAAACAATGCGGCAGCCTCAGCCTCCTCAATCCGGTAAAATTCCGTAAGCAATCCGGAAGCCTCCTCCCCAAAATCTGGTAAAAATCCGTAGACAATCCGGAAGCCTCCTCCGCAAAATGCGGGAAAAAACCGTAAACAATCCGGAAGCCTCCTCCCCAAAATCCGGTAACAATCCGTAAACAATCCGGAAGCCTGCTCCCCAAAATCCGGTACAAATCCGTAAACAATCCGTAAGCCTTCTCCTCAAAATCCGGTAAAGATCCGGACTCAATCCGGAAGCCTCCTCCCCAAAATCCGGTAAAAATCGGTACACAATCCGGACGCCTCCTCCCCAAAATCCGGTAACAATCCGTAAACAATCCGGAAGCCTCCTCCTCCAAAACCAGGTTAAAATCCGTAAACAAACCGGAAGCCTTCTCCCCAAAATCCGGTAAAAATCCGTAAACAATCCGGAAGCCTCCTCCCCAAAATTACAGATTTATACCGGATTTTGGGGAGGAGGCTTCCGGTTTGTTTACGGATTTTTACCGGATTTTGGGGAGGAGGCTTCCGGATTGCTGACGGAATTTGACCGGATCTTGGGTAGGGAGGCTTCCTTCCGGATTGTTTACGGATTTTTATCGGATTTTGAGGAGAAGGCTTCCGGATTGTTTACGGATTTTTACCAGATTGTGGGGCGGAGGCTTCCGGATTGCTTACGGATTTTTACCGGATTTTGGGGAGGAGGCTTCCGGATTGCGTACGGGCTCTCACCGGATTTTGGGGAGGAGGCTTCCGGATTGTTTACGGATTTTTACCGGAATTTGAGGAACTTCCGGATTTTTTACGGATTTTTACCGGATTTTGGGGAGGAGGCTTCCGGATTGCTTACGGAATTTTACCGGATTTTGGGGAGGAGGCTGCCGGATTGTTTACGGATTTTTGCCGGATTTTGGGGAGGAGGCTTCCGGATTGTTTACGGATTTTTACCGCATTTTGCAGAGGAGGCTTCCGGATTGCTTACGGATTTTTACCGGATTTTGCGGAGGAGGCTGCCGGATTGTTTACGGATTTTTGGGAGGAGGCTTCCGGTTTGTTTACGGATTTTAACCTGGTTTTGGAGGAGGAGGCTTCCGGATTGTTTACGGATTGTTACCGGATTTTGGGGAGGAGGCTGCCGGATTGTGTACCGATTTTTACCGGATTTTGGGGAGGAGGCTTCCGGATTGTTTACGGATTTTTACCGGATTTTGAGGAGAAGGCTTACGGATTGTTTACGGATTTTTACCGGATTTTGGGGAGGAGGCTGCCGGACTGTTTACGGATTTTTACCGGATTTTGGGGAGGAGGCTTCCGGATTGTTTACGGTTTTTTACCGCATTTTGCGGAGGAGGCTTCCGGATTGTTTACGGATTTTTACAGGATTTTGGGGAGGAGGCTGCCGGATTGCTTACGGATTTTTACCGGATTTTGGGGAGGAGGCTGCCGGATTGTTTAGGATTTTGGGGAGGAGGCTTCCGGTTTGTTTTCGGATTTTTACCGGATTTTGGGGAGGAGGCTTCCGGATTGTTTACGGATTTTAACCGGATTTTGAGGAGGAGGCTTCCGGATTGTTTACGGATTTTTACCGGATTGTGGAGAGAAGGCTTCCGGATTGTTTACGGAATTTTACCGAATTTGGTGGAGCAGGCTTACGGATTGTTTACGGATTTTGACCGGATCTGGGGGATGCGGCTTACGGATTGTTTCCGAAATTTTACCGAATTTGGAGGAGGATGCTTACGGATTGTTTACGGATTTCTAGCGGATTTTGGGGAGGAGGCTTCCGGATTGTTTACGGATTTTTACCGGATTTTGGGGAGGAGGCTTCCGGATTGTTTACGGATTTTTCCCGAATTGTGGGGAGGAGGCTTCCGGATTGTTTACGGATTTTTACCGGATTGTGGGGAGAAGGCTTTCGGATTTTTTACGGATTTTTTCCGGATTGTGAGGAGGAAGCTTCCGGATTGCTTACGGATTTTTACCGGATTTTGGGGAGGAGGCTTCCGGATTGCTTACGGATTTTTACCGGATTGTGGGGAGGACGCTTCCGGATTTTTTACGGATTTTTTCCGGATTGTGAGGAGGAGGCTTCCGGATTGCTTACGGATTTTTACCGGATTTTGGGGAGGAGGCTTCCGGTTTGTTGACGGATTTTGACCAGATTGTGGGGAGGACGCTTCCGGATTGTTTGCGGACTTTTACCGGATTGTGAGGAGGAGGCTTCCGGATTGCTTACGGATTTTTACCGGATTTTGGGGAGGAGGCTTCCGGATTGCTTACGGATTTTGACCAGATTGTGGGGAGGACGCTTCCGGATTGTTTGCGGACTTTTACCGGATTGTGAGGAGGAGGCTTCCGGATTGCTTACGGATTTTTACCGGATTTTGGGGAGGAGGCTTCCGGATTGCTTACGGATTTTGACCAGATTGTGGGGAGGACGCTTCCGGATTGTTTGCGGACTTTTACCGGATTGTGAGGAGGAGGCTTCCGGATAGGAGGCTTCCGGATTGCTTACGGATTTTCACCGGATTTTGGGGAGGAGGCTTCCGGATTGCTTACGGATTTTGACCAGATTGTGGGGAGGACGCTTCCGGATTGTTTGCGGACTTTTACCGGATTGTGAGGAGGAGGCTTCCGGATTGGACACTTCCGGATTGCTTACGGATTTTTACCGGATTTTGGGGAGGAGGCTTCCGGATTGCTTACGGATTTTGACCAGATTGTGGGGAGGACGCTTCCGGATTGTTTGCGGACTTTTACCGGATTGTGGGGAGGAGGCTTACGGATTGGACACTTCCGGATTGCTTACGGATTTTTACTGGATTTTGGGGAGGAGGCTTCCGGATTGCTTACGGATTTTGACCAGATTGTGGGGAGGACGCTTCCGGATTGTTTGCGGACTTTTACCGGATTGTGGGGAGGAGGCTTACGGATTTGGGACTGGGGAGGTCTGGGTGCTGGAACCTTGAAGCAACAGCCTTGCTAATTGTTTAATTGTTTA